ACAACACATTTTTGATGCTTTTTTTTTACCTTTGTTTTATGTGTATATATGTTTTGTCTGCATGTACAGCTCTGCACCACATACATACAGAGCATCTGCTTGCCGGTGACTGTGTTAGAGAAGCAGCAGGTGGCATTTGAAGTTCAAGGTGTCATCAGCCCACCAGGAAGAAACTCCCTGATGGGTGAATCTCAGATAGAGGCAAGGCCCCGAGACCACAGACCCTGGGATGTCTCTTGCTTCTGCTGTGCCTTTACATGTTTGCCACCACCACCACCACCCCCTCCACACACCTCCACCTCACCCTCCCCACCCCCACCCCCGCCCCCGCCATCTTCCTCTGGTACCTGGCATGGTGTGAATGGGTGTGGGGAGATCCCCACTGCCTGTAATGTAGTGTGTTTGGATACATCCCACTCTACTGGGCATTTTTACCTGTGGATTATTATGAAGATGATCCCTCCCTAGGCTGTATTGTCTAATTGATAATTATAATGATACCTTATACAGAGTTTTGATGAATAAAAATAAATACAAGAAAATGTCACACAGCTAGGGCCTGTGAGCTTCACCTAAGGAGCTGCATTAGATCACAGCTCAGGTTAATGATTAAGAAAAACAATTGAGTCCCAGTCAGCCCAGCTAGCTTAAATTCTTTTAACCTTAATGTTGGGAGATGTGTTCAGGTTTTGGAGTACATCACAGCTGAAACAAAGCTTTGAAAATAACTTAAAGTCAGACTAAAATGCTTTTGTCAAATGGCTTTGAGGTGAAAAACCCAAGAAGACAATCTAAAGTTTTAGAAAGGTGCACAGTTGAGTGAGGATCTCTTTAAGGTCAGGGATCAAGAACAGAGCAGCCCAGTTATCACTAGCTGACGCACTTTTCTTGCTAGGATTGGTTGATGACCAAAGGTGTTATTAATTCCTTACACCCATTTCCACCCTCAATCTCCTGATATAACAAACTATTGATGAATGGACATGTACCCCAAAGATTTAAAGTAGAGCGGATTCTTTTTCACATATAAAAGTTTAGGTTTGTGATTCCTTTAAGATTCCTTATAAGATTACCTTTCGCCGGGCGGTGGTGGCGCACGCCTTTAATCCCAGCACTCGGGAGGCAGAGCCAGGCGGATCTCTGTGAGTTCGAGGCCAGCCTGGACTACCAAGTGAGTTCCAGGAAAGGCGCAAAGCTACACAGAGAAACCCTGTCTCGAAAAACAAAAACAAAAAAAAAAAAAAAAAAAAGATTACCTTTCAGCATAAGTAATAAAGTAATTGGCCCTTTCTTTGTAACTTCAAAATGCAGCCTGCAAGTGAAAGACCTGACTGAGAAGAATACCTTGCTTGCCCCCATGGTTAATCTATAACAAGTTGCTTGGGTATGAATGTATGCGGGTTCTTGGGGTAATTTGTTGTTCACCTGTAATACATAAATAGTTAATCATGTGAGGGATATGGAAACATGCTGTTTTCTACTCTTTGTCCTGTATCCATCGTAAATATTCACTCGAGAAGCAGACAGTAACCACACTGTAATTTTTCTATTGCCTGAAAGATTTTGCTGGGGTATATGAGCTGTAAGAAAAAGAATAAAGATAGAATTAAAGAGAGTTAAAATGGGCTAGAAGGAAACCATCAAGAATGAGAAAGTTGATCTGCTCAAGGAGCCCCCTGGCAGTAGGATCAGGATCCATCTCTGGTGCGTGAGCTGTGAGCTGGGTTTTTGGAGCCCACTACCAATGGTGGGACACCTCGCACAGCCTCGGAGCAGGGGGAGGGGCTTAGACCTCCCTCTACCAAATGCACCAGGCTCTGCTGACTTCCCGTGGGAGGCCTTACCTTCTTGTAGGAGGGAATGGGGGGAGGGAAGGCTGGAGGGGTGGGAGGAGGGAAAAGGGGGGATCTGTGATTGGTATGCAAAGGCATGTGCCTCCGCCACCCAGCGATGCAGGACGTCTATTTTCATTCCTTTGCTATGGTAAACTACCCTGCCAAAAGCAACACTAAGGAAGAAGTGTTTATTCTCCTTGCTTATAATCTCAGGTTACAGTCCATCATGGCAGGGACACCAAGGAACCAGTTACAGGCACAGTGAAGTGTATGAGCTCAAGCATGCCTCATCAAGGTCAAACTGGGCTACATAGCAAGTTCCAGGCATGCCAGGGCTGTATGGGGAGCCCTTGCCTTGAAAAATAAGAAAAAAGAAAGAAAAGAAAAAGAAAAGCCAACCTGATCTAGACAGTCTCCCCTTTGGACTCTTCCCATGTGTCAAGTAACCATCACAAACTGGGCATGGTAATTCCATGTGATTTGGAAGGCAGAGACAGGCAGAACTCTGTGAGTTCAAGGCCAGCCTGGTCTACAGAGAGAGTTCCAGGACAGCCAAGGCTACACAGAGAAACCCTGTCCCCCCAAAACAACAACAACAACAAAAGTAACCATCACACGGAGTCTTATGTAACCCAGACTGGTCTTGAACTCTCTGAGTAGGAAAGGGTGACCTTGAATTTCTAATTCTCTTGCCTTCAACTGCCAAGAGTATAGATGTATAACTGACTTATGTGGTGCTGGGGAATTTGAACTAGACAGGGCTTCATGAATGCTAAGCAAGCACACGTCCAACTGAGCTACTTCTCCAGCCCTGAAGCTCATGCTTGATGATCTCTTTTCTCAAAAGAATGGCAGATCCAGGACAGGCTCCAAAGCTACACAGAGAAACCCTGTCTCAAAAAACAAAACAAAACAAAAGAATGGCAGAGACAAGAGAAGGCTTGATGTGATGTTCTAGAGACACTGGAAAGAAGGGTAGGCGCTGAAGCCAACCAAGGGTTAGGCAATGGCTGGCAAGGAGAGGTCAGCTGAGGCTGTGTTCTTGGTTCCATCCTGCTTTGGAATGAGTGGGCAACCTGGGGGAGGAACACCACAGGGCAGATCCTAACATGAATCTGTATTGGCGGAGAGCCAAACCCACAAGCGGATTTGTGCTACTGACTGATGAGACAGTAGCTCAGACTGTGACCTGCAGACCCAGGCCAGATGGGAAAGCGAGCTCCTGAGAGACTGGAGGGCTTGAGAGACTCTGGGGGATGGACAGGACACTTTGGTCTGGGGAAATGTTGCCATGGGACAGTGAAAATGGTGGACCTGAATCATTAACACAGATGGGCATCAACTCCCACAGAGGAGTAGGGCATCCCCTGGGAAGGGAGGGCCTGTACCAGTGCGGGTGGGAAGTTGAAGAATAACTAGTTACTGATTCCCTTTCTCTCCGTGAAGCTGGTGCTAATGGGAAGAGGGAGATTTAGAGGTACAGAGAGGGGATTGAGGTCTCATTAACCACAGAGAAGGTCGGGATGGGGTAACAGCTTCAGGAGTTTTGACAAGGGGACAGCACAAAGATTGAAATGAAAAACCTGAAGTCAAGGCCAACGATATGGCTCAGCAGATAAAGGTGCTTGCCTCCAAGCTAAATGACCCAAGTTCCATTTCTGGGACAAAGCTGGCGCAGGAGCAAATCGACCTTCAACAAATTGCCCACTGACTTGCGCTGACACACCAACATACATGTAAAGTAAAACAGAACTCGAAACCACAAATTCTTAGCTGTGGCCATCAGCGGGGAGCATTTTCAGCAGCTTCAGAACAAAGGACAGGATTGGCTCTTTGGCTACACCCCAGGAACCCTGTCCTGGTCCACACCTGACTAGGTGGAAGCCTGTGAAGAGGCCACTCTTGACTACAGACAGACTCAGGGCCCAGAACGCCTGACATTGGGCAGATACCAATACCTGCACCCGAATGTCCTCAGCTATCAGTAGATTAAAGCAGTTTGAGGTGCCGAGGCTCACCCTTCCAGACCCTATAGTTTGGAGTCTGGGATATTTCACAGGATTCTGGGGTCCAAGACACCGCACACTGGAGAACACACCATCTCACCAGCCGGTCCCAGACAGGAAGGGAATCTGCTTCAGAAGAGCACCGCCCAGTTTCCCCAGTGTCTCCTGGTGATGCTGACGCCCTGCTCCATCCCTCCCACTCCACTGGGCCTCTCAGGCCATGTTGGCCTCCATTTGTAAAAACAGCAGTGAGCGGAGAGGGCTGACATTTCTGCCTCATCGCCAAATAAAGCAATAACAACCATCACCGCAGGCTCCCTACATGACGCCCTCCATCTCAATGGGTAGTCACCAAATAAAGGGATGACAACCTGAGCCCCACAGTGCACCCCACCGCGGCAGGCTCCCTACCTGGACCCTCCACCTCCAACCCCAAATCTGGGCTAAGGGGTTTCCTTCCATCCTTTGGTGAAAGACCCTCTATGCTCTTACACGAGTACACAAGGTACCAGGGCCTAACCCATCTCACGGTCCTAGTGAGAGGAGCCAGCCAGGTCGTTTCACACCTGCCACCCACCCTCTTCTTAAGTCCATAAATCTGGGATGGGTCCCTAAGCTCACAGTGCTCGGCCAGCGCACTACACGTGCCGGCCCTGGACGGTGCGAACCGAACATCCCTGCCCAACTCTAGGCTAGGTGTGTCTGGGGTGTGGCTTTGGCGGGAAAGCAGCGTCCCGGGTGACCGCCATCGAAGCCCCCGCGGGGGGCAGCCCCGGATTGGCGGCCGCGGTTCTGTCCTTTTGGGGAGCGGCCCTAGAGACGCTCAGTCTTTGGAGTTGCGGCGACCTCCAGCCTGGCGAAGATACAGGGCTGCAGGACCCGGAGGCGCCGCGGCAGCCCGCGGTGGGCTGGGCGGGGCAGAGCAGGGCTACCGCCTCCGCGCGTCCCTCCAGGTCTGGCCACTCCGCCCAGGAGCTCAGGGCGCAGGGGCGGCAGACGGGGCGCACCCGGGACGGACTCGCATGGACCTCCCGCGCCGCTGGCTCTTCCGGATGCTGCTGCTCTTCGCAGCCGGCTCCGGGATCCTCCTCACGCTTTACTGCTCGGTGCGGCAGCGGTCCCTGGAGCCCCAGGCCCAGGCCAGGTAAGCGCTGCGGGGCGCTGAGCCCAGGGCGCGGGGAGAGGGCGCTCTCTAGATGCTCGCAGACACCCTGGGCTGACTCGCAGCGGCGACACGCCTTTTGAAACCGCCTTATAATCTCGTGCTGCCACCTGGACCCGCGGCCTCTGCCCGCCCCGAACACACTGGTGACCCTGACGTCTTTGGTTAATTTCGTCCAGGCCTAATTAAAAGCTCCCTGTTGTCGCTTTCTTTCTGGATCCACTTTTAGGGTAGAGACCCAATTCCTCTACTTTCCAACTTTCTCCTGCTCTTCAGGTAGGAGGTAGCCAGTCTCTTGCTCACTTTGGGCTCTGAGCTCAGGCCTGCCTGCATCTGGCTCCCTTTTGTCTGGGCCTATTTGTTTAAGTGGTAACTTTGATAAGCACCATCTGGGCATGGCCCAGCGAAAAGGCGAACTCCACCTGGGATAACACAGAGGCCTATTCTGGACGCATCTGAACCTTCGACCAAGTTCCTCCTGCTTTCCAGAAACCTAAGAATGTCTTTGGTAGGCTACAGTTCCAGTTTACTGAAGGAGCCTCAAGGGTCTTCAGCTTTATTTCTGGGAGGTACACCGAGGCATAGCTAGAATGTGGGCTTGGAGGCTGAAGAGCCCACGCAGCGTCACGCAGAGACCTCAGCAACCAGCTTCTCTCCTCGCAGCCCTTTTGCTTCTGCACAGTTCTCAGCAAAGCTTGCTGAGATGAAAACAAAACAAGTATCTAGCGTTTGGCTAAAGGACACAGCTCAGTTGCAAAATAACATGAAAATTGCTTGCAAACAGTTAGCTAACAACACCGAAGCGGGCGACATCCTGCAAAGGCCCTGACATGCTTGACTTCACACGGAGGGTCAGTTACATCGGATTACACCTCAACAAAGCTTTTCTTTCCTTTTCTTTTTTTCTTTTTCTTTCTTTCTTTTTATTTTTTATTTATTTATTTTTTTTATTTTTTGGAGACAGGGTTTCTCTGTGTAATGATCCTGGCTGTCCTGGAACTCACAGAGATCCTCCTGTCTCTGCCTCCCGAGTGCTGGGATTAAAGGAGTGCACTACCACCGCGAGCATCTGGGAACTTTTTATTTTTTTTTTAAAGTTACTTTTTATAGCCAATATTTTTAAATTAAATTTGTTCTTTGAAAGTCTATATATTGCTCGGGCAGTGGTAACATACGCCTTTAATCCCAGCATTCAGGAGGTAGAAGCAGACAGATCTCAGAGTTCCAGGCCAGCCTGGTCTACAGAGCAAGTTCCAGACAGCCAGGGCTACACAGAGAAACGCTGTGTCAAAAAAAAGGAAGAAAGAAAGAACAGAAAATGTCATCCGTGCATATAATGTGTTCTAATGACTCTCACCCTCCTTCCTCTCACCCTCCTCCCTCTCACCCTCCTCCCTCTCACCCTCCTCCCTCTTTTGTCCCCCCCCCCCAACCAGCATTCCTTTCTTCCCCACAAACGCTTTTGCTGCTTTGCTTGGTTTTATGAACCCCTGAGTTTAACCAAGGGTCTGTGTGAGCGTGGGTGTGCAACAGTCCCTTAGAGTCTGATGGGTCTCCAGTGGGTCTCCACACAGCTGAAGACAATAACTCCCCAGTCTTCAGAATCCATCCATATTCAATAATCCTTTCCCTAGGGAGAGGAGGGTTCCAAGAGCCCCTCCCCTACCCACAAGGGACTGTTGGCAGGCCCAGCCTTGTGCAGGCCCAGGGCAGGCAGCTAACTGCAGCTGCTTTGAATTTATGGTTGCAATGGCCATGTCATGCCCAGAAGACGGTATTGCACAGCGTGCCCCATTGGGCTCTCACAGCCTTTCAGCCCTGGATTCCTCAATGTTCCTTCCCTTTAACCTCCATATGTGCCTCATAGTGTGCGTGCACCTTCACACAGATGAATGCACACATACCACACACAGCACACATACACACATTATACACACATTTTAAAAAAATAAGTTGACTATATTTAGTTTATTTTGTTTTGAGACAGTATCACATAAAACTCAAACTTGCTTAAGTAGCTGTGGATGGCCTTGAACTCCTGACCCTCCTGCCTCTGCCTCTAGAGGGCTAGAATTATAGCAGGTGCCACCACATCTGATGAATACATTTAGTTTTATAAAAATGTACATTTTTGTGCTTATTTCTCACGCTGCAAAGTCTTCACAGAAGGATATGGGTGCCTACCTCCCTTTAAGGAGGAGCCCTAGGTAACAGGAAGATTTGGATTTCTGAGAGAGGGCCTATGAAGTCACCAACCCCAGGGCAGCTGGGAAGTACCATTAGGCCTGGAGTGAGGGGTGGGGTTCAGGAGAGTCCCCACTTTGTCACCCCATCTCAGGCACTTGCACCTTGCTGTCCCAAGTCTGTGAGTCTAGCAGTTCCTGTGTGGGTTCACAGGCCTTGCCTGATAGAGTCACCAGAGAGTGGGGGATAGTGGGGGGAGGGACCGTGGAATCAGTCAGAATCTCAGGTGTGGATGTTTGCTAGGCTCCTTCCAAGCTGCCTAAGCTGAGCACGACCAGGTCTCAGCTCCTTAGAGGAGGGAGGAGCCATGGGATTATAGGGGTGGACATCTGGCTAGTGGAGGGGGGCAGGCGTCATCCCTGCTTGAACCCCTTCGGGATCTTACTAGAAACCTGGGAATCCAGAGGTCCCACTGGCTCAGTGGGCTCAGCATCTGCAGGAGACCTGTGTTTCTCGGGCAAAACTCCCAGCCCCAAGTCCTCTGCACCCCTGCTTCGCTGATGCTGCTAGGGTATGGGCAATGAAGGATGGCGCACCTGGCCACCAGGGGCTTCTTCCTTTCCTTCCCCTCTGCCCAGGGCCTCATAGCGCCTGGGAAAGGTGAGCACCCTCTTGCCTCCCTTTAGAAGACACTGGTAGAGAGGTACAAGAACCTTGACTTTCTCCCTTAGGAACAATGGCTGGCATTTAGGAGACTTTTTCATATGGGATAATTGAGCTGTTCTCCTGGGCCCTTCCAACAATCAGGTGAGCCAAGTACTGGTGAACAGAGACGGAGACCGAGGTTTCGAGAGAGTCAGTGGACAGCTGACCATAGGACAGGGCTGTATGCAAACCCTAAGAGTCAGGCTTTCAAGCCTTCCCCAGGACGGAGCTGCAGAACTGGGGGCATACTCCGCTGGAGGAGAGGCGTCCCCTCATCTCATTCCTAACGACTGCCCCTCCGGCTTGGGTTGTTGCTGTTTGCTTCTGTGGCATGAGACTTCATCATCAACCTGAGGCTGGCTTCAAATCTATGTAGGAGAGGGTAGCCTTGAACTCTGGATCCTTCTGCCTCAGTCTCCTAAATACTGAGATCAAGGGCATCCATTGCAACATTCATCCCCGGGGCTTTGGCAGGAGCCCTCTCAGACAGTCACAATTCCAGGGACTTCTTGTTTTTTTTTTTTTTTTTTGGTTTTTTTTTTGGTTTTTCGAGACAGGGTTTCTCTGTGTAGCTTTGCGCCTTTCCTGGAACTCGCTTTGGAGACCAGGCTGGCCTCGAACTCACAGAGATCCGCCTGGCTCTGCCTCCCGAGTGCTGGGATTAAAGACGTGCGCCACCACCGCCCGGCGACTTCCTGTTTTATATCTTCATATTTTAACCATCGCTATTCCTATAAACTCCATTTTTCTGCCCCTTGCTGAGAGACTTGCTGAGTTCCTTCATTTGTGGAGCTTGGCAGAACATAGTTGAGAGACGGTGTAGGCTGTGCATCTAAACAAGGAGTTGTGGTCCAGAATAAGTGTGAACGAAAGATCAAAGGATTAAACACCCCAAGAACCCTGGCATTTTGTCAGCCTCAGAGCTGAGGAAATCAGTCTAGAAGCTTAAGGTGCTGGTTGGACCCCCACTTTACTTCTGCCTTTTCCCCCCAGGAGCATCATGTCACCTCGAGCAATCTTTGAACCCAAGGCATCGAATTCCAAAAGCAGAAAGGTACAGTGGTCCACTACTCTGGGGCAGTTTGAGCATCTTCTGGCTCTGAGGAGAGGAGAGAAGAAAACAAGCAAGAACATTCTGAGGCTTCTGGGTCTAATCTGCACAGAGATAAACATCCATCTCCTGAGGCATCTAGACCTGGCCACTAGTGTTTCCTGTATCTCAGCAGAAAATGGTGGATAGATAAGTAGTCCTGTGGTGTATCTGGAACCCAGCTGGGAGGTTCTTAAAGTCTTAAAATTGTATCCTTTTAACTATGTGTCTGAGTGTGTGTGTGTGTGTGTGTGTGTGTGTGTGTGCATGTGAGTGCAGGCACCACAGAGGATACAGGCAGCAGAACCCCCCAGAGTTGGAGTTACAGTCAGTTGTAGGTGCTGGGAACTGAACTCAGATCCTCTGTAAGAGCAGGATGTGCTCTTCTTCAGGGAGTCATCTCCCCAGCTCCCTCAAATGATCTTTTTTTTTTGGTTTTTCGAGACAGGGTTTCTCTGTGTAGCTTTGCGCCTTTCCTGGGACTCACTTGGTAGCCCAGGCTGGCCTCGAACTCACAGAGATCCGCCTGGCTCTGCCTCCCGAGTGCTGGGATTAAAGGCGTGCGCCACCACTGCCCGGCCTCAAATGATCTTTTTAAAAGTTAATTTTATTTATTAGTAGTATGTGTTTGCTTATGTGTGTATATGCTCCAAGTGTGTGCAGGTACCCAAAAAGCATAGGATCCCCTAGAACTGGGATTATGGGCAGTTGTGAGCCACCCATGTGGATGCAAGGAATTGAACCCTGGTCATCTGCCAGAACAATGTATGCTCTTAACCATCTGGCTGTCTCTCCAGCCCCTTAAAATTATATCTTTGGGGGTTGGGGATTTAGCTCAGTGGTAGAGTGCTCGCCTAGCAAGCGCAAGGCCCTGGGTTTGGCCTCAGATCCGGGGGGGGGGGGGGGGGGGGGGGGGGGCGCGGGGGGGATGTATCTTTGTGTTGAATGGATTCTTTATTCTTCCAAATGTCTACTTATGAGAAGTCATGGTTCACTTGTTCACTGAGGAGCAAATGCCAAGCTCTGGGGTAATGCCCCATATTTGCCTCAGGAGTCTTAGATCTTCGGGACTCTAGTCCATAACCCTGAGTAGTAGCTAGATACCCGATGTGCCACACAGCACTTCATTCTTAAGTTTCAGGTAAACAGCAAATAGAAGTATTCCAGGGGGCAAACTGAGCCACGGAGCAGTGAGGTGCCTTGCCCAGGACCACCCAGCAGTAATCAGTGCCATTGGGATGGGAGCCCTGATCTGACCCCAGAACTGGCCACACACTGGGTGGTGTATGGAACTTCCCTGCCAACCCAGCTCCTTATACCGGTTAAACTGGGAGATGCTTGTTTCTTTTATGGAATAATACAGGCTTAAGCACTGTTTTCAGTACCCAAAAGATTGGACTTGAACATGTTAACTGAGGTTTTAGGGGCACGGGGAGAAAAGGCATCCATTTGTTCAAGAGTTTAGATATAGCCCAGGCATCCAGAGACAGTACAGTGGTCTGGTCTGGTCAGGTGGTGAGGAAACCTGTGTGTGGAACAGGTCATGGGCACGTGGTTAGCAGCTGAAGAGACTGTAGGCATCTTGAGTGCGTGGGCCAGGTCATCTTTAAGTTTCCAATGGGTGTTCTGCTTGGTGCTGATTGACACACAGTCCCAGCTAGTTTAAAATAGGCATTGCTGTGGCTTTTGAATCCCATTCTAATGTATGAGGTACCCAGAGACCAAAGAAGGAAGGCAGACAGACCTAGGGGTGCATAGAATGTCTTTCACTGGAGGAGTTATTGATGGAAGTGTGATCCTGGGAAGCAAGCACCAAGGCCAGTTGGATTCCCACACTTTGGACCAGAAAGAGGGATTTATTTGTGGCTTCGAACAAAAGTGACTTCATCTCTGCAATGTGCCTGGTTTTCTTTTCTTTTCCTTTTTTTTTTTTAAATTTATTTTTATTTGGTGTTCATTGGTGTTTCACTTGCATGTATGTCTGTGTGAGGGTGTCAGAAGGCCTGGAACTGGAGTTACAGACAGTTGTGAGCTGCCATGTGGGTGCTGGGAATTGAACCCGGGTCCTCTGGAAGAGCAGCCACTGCTCTCAACCACTGAGCCACCTCTCCAGCCCCCTGTGCCTGGTTTTCTTAGGGAAATATTGAAGAGTTAGTTGTGTCCGTCTGTCTGCTGATGAGGACACTAGATAAAGGCAGAACGTGCACCCAACTGAATTGAACTATACAAAACCACCCATCGACTTCACGACCTGTGTCGTGGGCTCACCCACTTACACTGCTATTACAACTCCCCTTCTGATGCAGACGACCCCCTTTCTGCCATTTCATTGAACCTTACTGACTGCTCTTAACCTTTGGACACCAGTGTCCACAAGCAAACCTCCAGTCTTTCCAAGGGAAGGTATTGTGGTTTAGGCAGAAGTCATGTATTCCTTGGCCATGGGACATGGCACAAGTCTGACTTTCTTGCATCTGTGTGTGTGTGTGTGTGTGTGTGTGTGTGTGTGTGTGTGTGTGTGTGTGTGTGTTTGCTTTAATGCACCATTAACAACGTTCTTGAATGTTACGCCACTCATCTCATCTCCCATATGCCCTGTGGTTTGGATTACAGCACTTTTGCATAGTGTGGGATGCTCATATGTTGCATGATAGCAGAAACCACTGTCTGGCCATTTCCTGCTCTGTCCTTTGATCAACGGCTTAACAAAAAGCTTATTCAGAAGTAACAGAGCCCCGCCCCACCCCCACACCAAAGCTCTGTGAGACTCAATACTGTGGGAAAGCAGGGGATTAGAATGGGCTGGCTAGGAACCTCACTCTCCAGAAGGGCCCTGTTTCCTGGGGCTCTCAGAACTCAGGGCATGAGCTAGGTGACTTAAAACAATGGCAGCTGGGGGTGGAGAGACTGCTCAGTGGTTAAGAGCATGTTCTGCTTTTGCAGGGGACCCAAGTTTGGTCTGCAGCACCCATTTCAGGCAACTCACTCACAACCTCCTAGAACCCCAACTCTGGGGGATCTGGTGCCTCTGGTCTCTGTCGCAGCTGCTCTCACATGCATAAACACACGTATGCATCATTAAAAGAAAACAACTTTCCACAGGTTCTGAATGCCAGAGGACCAATATCACATCAGGGGGGCCATATTTCCCTAGGGCTCTAAAAATACCTCCCTTGCCTTCCTCTGTCTTCTGGCATCTCCAGGATATCTTCAGCATCCATCCCTGCATGGCCTCCATTTTTCACAAGGCCTCATCATCAGGTGGCTGGTTGTTGGATTTAGGGCTAGCCTAAGCCCATAAAACCCCTTTCTGATGACATTCACAAATACCTTATTTCCAAGCAAGGTCAATGTTTTAGCTTTTCTATTGTGACAAGCACATGAGAAAAAAAAAACTTCAAAGGAAGAACAGCTTTGTTGGCCCATGGTTTCAGTCACTTGGATCTACTGTTTCTGAAAGCAGAGCATCATGGGAGACAGCAGATGGTTATATGGAGTCATTTACATCATGGCAGCCAGTAAGCAGGGTGAGAGAACACAAAGAGACCCCGGCACAAAATATAGCCCCCAAAACATGTTGCAGTGACCAGCTTCCTCCAGTGAGGCCTCACTGCAGAAGTTCCTACCACCTCCCCATGATGCCATCAAATTATATAATCATCATCATCATCATCATCATCATCATCATCATCATCATAATTATTATTGTAGTGTTTTGAGACAGGATCTTTCAGTATTCCTGGCTATCCTGGAACTCAATATTTAGACCAGGCTGGCCAAGAAATCACAGAGATCCACCTGCCTCTGTATTGGGAGTTCTGGGATTAAAGATGTGCACCACCATGCCAGGCTGTCATCAACTTATTAACCCATGTATGGGTTAATTGATAAAGGCAGAACTCTTGTGGTCCAAATGCTTCTCAGTGATTGGCTCCATCATCTGAGGACAAAAGCCACTTGAATGGTATATCGTGTCCTAACCGTCACAGAGGTTCTTGGTGGACATGAATGCTGGGGCTGGAAATGAGCAGTCAAGGGAAGGAGGGTGGGTACAGTTCTTCCCAGCACCTCTCATTTCACGGGGAGTTCCCCCTGGAGGTACGACCTCCATCAGGCTGACAGAGTCTAAATCCAGGTTGTACTCACTGGTTGCAAAGTACCCAGAGTTTGTCCAAGTGTGAGCTGAAGGAGTAGGAAGCCAGCTCCACTGAAACATGGACATGTGGTATCTGGACAAGGATAAATCCAGAAAGTTTAGCCTGGGCAGGCTAAATCCAGAAAGTTCCCCGACCCCACCAGGCTGCTGGATCACAGGCTATTTCAGCTGAAAGATCCAGGGATGGCCCCTTCTGGAGGGATAAAGGAAGCTAGCTCCTCCTTCTGAATTCTCCTGTGAGGTCTGCAGGCTCCCGGGAGACACACTCTGGCCCCTACCTGACAGGCTTAGCCCTCTCCTCTTCTCAGTCACAGAACCAGCTTTGCCAACACCCACTTTCCCTGGCCATTCAGAAGGACCACTACTTCCGGGGCCTGTTTGACTTCTCCACCCCAGTGCTGCTGTGGGGCGGCCTCTTCACTCAAGAGCTCTGGAACAATCTGAGCCAGCACAAAGTCCCCTATGGGTGGCAGGGACTCTCCCGTGAAGGTAACCCACTCCCTGCTGCTTCTCCCTCGCCTTCTGCCTCCTGCCTCAGCTGGCCCCTTCTTCCCACTGTCGGTCCTACTGTGTTCCAGCCCTGGCTGCTTTCACAGCATCTATGGGGCACTTCGTGGGCTTCTGCTTCTCTCTCTCCTCCTTTATCCAGTCACCCAGGACTAAGCTGAGATTCACTTGCTCAGTGGCTCTCACTATCTTGGGGTCTCCTGGCATGGAAAATGTCCAATGTTTAATGATAGTCTGATATCAGAGGCTTAGGGGCCTTCACGGCACCATCGTGGGTGCTTATTGCCCAAACTACCACACTCAGGTCCACCCCATGCCTTGGATTCTTTTCTTTTGGAGCATACACAGTCTTAGAGAACTAGTTATTCAAGATATCCCGGCCACCCAGGCTCCCCCTATCCTTTTCTCCATCCCCCCCTACAGACAATGACCGCCATTCTCCCTGCATCCTCTGTACTTTCTGGGTCTCCCATAACATATGTCCCAAGCCAGACAGTCTCGGGAAAGCCTAGCAACAGCCGGCTTCTCATGGTTCCCCCTTGTCCACACCCACAGCTATCATCTCTACCCTGAGACTTCTCGACAACCCCAAGAGCGCAGAGCTGTTCGGTGCTTCCAAACCGCTAAGCTGTATTCGGTGTGCCGTGGTGGGTAACGGAGGCATTCTGAACGGGTCCCGTCAGGGTCAGAAAATCGATGCCCATGACTATGTGTTCAGGTAATGAGGGCAGGGGCCAGGCAGCTGGGTGAACAACATCTGCCCCGAGGCCAGGGCCAAGGCAGTTGCCAGCCTAAGGCAGCTCAGCAGTTAGGTTGGGCAGATGGCTGGTCTAGACCAGCAGTTCTCAACCTGTGGGTCGTGACCCCTTTCACAGGGGTCACCTAAGACCATTGGAAAATACACATATTTACATTACTATTCATAACATAGTAAAATTACTGTTATGAAGCAGCAACAAAAATAACTTCTATGGGTTTTTTGGGGGGGGGTTCACCATAACATAAGGAACTATATTAAAGAGCCATGGCATTAGGAAGGTTGAGAACCACTGGTCTAAACCAAGGATCAGCCAACCCTGAAGACAGAGCACAAGTGCTCAGTGTGAAGAAACCTGGGAAGAAGAGTCCCCAGGGCCAGATTTACCCATTCAGAGAGCATCCCTTAGGAGAAGTGAGGACCGCAAACAGGCATTCTCCTGGGCAGGGGGGTGGTACAAGCAAGAGGGATGGGACAGGTGAGGCAGTGCCATGGAGGGAGGGTAAACCAGATGACACAGAGCGGCCACAGAGACACTGATGGGCTTCTGCTGGGGCCAGACTCAATGGAGCAGTGATCAAAGGCTTCGAACGTGACGTGGGCACCAAGACCTCCTTCTATGGTTTCACCGTGAACACCATGAAGAATTCCCTCATCTCCTACTCCAACCTGGGCTTCACCTCTGTGCCACAAGGGCAGGTGAGGCCAGGAATGGGTGAACCATGGCTGACAGTGGGCGGGCATTGTCTTCTTAGAACCCCTTGTATGGGGTGGGCCTTGGGATTCCCAGGCACTGTCCAGTGGATGGATAGGTAGTGTTAAAACCTTGGCCACCTACTGGGCGTGGTGGCGCACGCCTTTAATCCCAGCACTCCCTATAGGCAGAAGCAGGTGGATCTCTGTGAGTTCCAGAATAGCCAGGGCTACATAGAGAGACCCTGTCTTAAACAACAAAACGAAAAGATCTCAGCCACACGAGGAGGCAGACATTAGCGCTAAAGGCCGATCTAATGGAGATTTCCTGTTCTTTCCAGTGGCTGGGGGCTGCCTCTTGAGCATGGAAGGGGAGGGGCTAATATGTGCTGGATACAGATGGATGCCTTGTGAACCCCACTTCACTAGGGAGCAGACTGAAGACTGGAGCCCTTCCATGCAGCAAGTCAGCAGAAGGCCCAAGGTTCAAACCTAGACTGCCCACCCCAGAGTTTCCTTATCTATGCACAGTGCAAGGGCGTTTCTTGGGTACTTCCTCTGTTCCCAGAGCATCACAGGGTGTGAACATGAGTGTCACAGATGCTCTGTGTGGGATCACCATACCTGTCTGCAGATGGCCGAGTTAGGGGCTACTGAGAGGTCGCCAGGCATGGCGGTACACACATGCAGTCCCAGCACATGGAACGCAGGGGCAGGGAGATCTATGTGATTTTTTTTAAGATTTACTTATTATGTATACAGTGTTCTGCCTGCCCATGTCCTTGCAGGCCAGTAGAGGGCACCAGATCTTATTACGGGTGGTTGTGAGCCACCATGTGGGTGCTGGGAATTGAACCCAGGTCCTCTGGAAGAGCAGTTAGGGCTCTTAACTGCTGTGCCATCTCTCCAGCCCCTCTGTGTAATTTTTGAGGTCAGCCTGGTCTACACAGTGAGCCTTTGTCTCTAGCAGGGGAAAATGCTGAGAGGTTTGAGAATGATTCCAAAACCATTCGGCTAGAATTGCCCAGATCTAGGCCCCCTGGAGATATTTCCATTTCCCCACACTACCGACCAAAAGAATGATGTGTGACATCTTAGACTCTCATCAGAGCTCTGTGTAGGAAATGGAGGTTCAAAGAGGCTCATGCATTGTCACAGCTAGTGCCGGAGCCAGCCTGGAGCCCTCTCCCCCTGGAGCCCTCTCCCCCTGGGAGCCCTCTCCCCCTGGAGCCCTCTCCCTGGCTCCTCCCTCCACACTTGCTGTAATGCCATGTTTTCTGCCTTGAGCTCTCTAGATGCCACATGCAGGGTGAGAGAGATCTTGGGTAAGGGGTTCTATGGGCCTAGGAGGGGAGGGGCCATGTTTCTAGACGCTTCTGCCTCTGATCAGGACATTCAGGAGTGTCTAGATTGTCACTGAGTCCCACTGTAGAAGCTATTCGTTCACGAGAGAACAGTATGTGGGGTCTGTCACCCGCCCCCCCACCCCCCCACCCCCACCGTAAATGCTAAGCCTTTATCATCTCATTCAGCCAATGTGTCAGGAATGTGGGAGTGGCTTATCAAGTAGTTCTAGCTCAGGCTCTTTCAGGCCGTGGACTGCTTCCATTTGAAGGCAGGAGTAGGGCTGGGGTCAAGATGGTCGTGTACAGGTTTATTTCATCTGGGCCCTTCTAGAGTCCCCATGACATGATGGCCAACTTTCCCCAGACTGAGGAATCCAGAGAGAGCAAGGAAGCCAAGCACCTTTTATGACCGTCTTCAAGATCTTATGTGTGTTTTGCCAGCATGTATGTCTGTGCACCATGTACATGCTTGGTGTTCGCAGAGGCCAGAAGAGGGCATTGGATCCCCTGGAAATGGCGTTATGGATGGCGTTATGAACCACCATGTGGATACTGGGAACTGAACCCGAGTTCTCTGGAAGAAGAGCAAGTGCTCTTAACCGCTGAGCCATCTCTCCAGCCCTCTATTTTCTTGTTTTAGAGTCCGGCAGGAGGGTCAGGAGGCAGGAGGGTCAGGACTTCCTTGCTTGCATAGGGAGTTTGAGACCCTGTCTCCAAAAAACCACAGAGATCTTAGGCATTAGTCACAAAGTCTAGCCAATCATCGAGGGGACGGCAATGCTCCCAAGCTTGGGTGGCAAGGTGAGGCAGAGGACTGTTTTCCTCTGGAGCTGAATGTGGCCTTGTCTGATACCCTGGCAGGACCTGCACTACATCTTCATCCCCTCAAGCATCCGTGACTACTTGATGCTGAGATCTGCCATTCTGGGTGTGCCTGTCCCAGAGGGCCCCGATAAAGGGGACAGGTGAGCAGCTGACTCCCCCCTTGTTCCAAAGCCCCATGGTTGGATAGAGAAGCTAGCTGATGGCTCATTAGTCCTGGCTATGGTGTGAGAAGCTGTGCAAAGGGAAGAGAAAAATTCTCTAACATTCAACAGTCCCTAATTATTCCACATAATTTAGCACTAAGGATTGTGCTCTGGCTGACAGTGGGTGCCATCCTCTGAGGACCCTTGGGTAGAGCAGGACACAGAGCTCAGAGAACTCTGTCCAGTGGCCGAAGAGGTAATGCTTGGCCACCTGAGTGTTGACATTAAAGCTGAAAGCAGATTTGGCAGGGTTCGAATTCTTTCAGGCCAGTCAGGGCCCAGGCAGCCATACAGGCTTCCCTGCTGGATGAGAGGTAGTCTGCTCGAGGGGGGTGAGCAGGCCTGGCCCCTCAGCTCTGGGCAGCTGTCCCAGCTGTCCTGCTGGAAGACAGACACGCAGCAGGGACAAGAGGCTTCTTCTCAGCTGGCGGCTGGCCCAATGAGCACACCGCTCTGGAAACTAAGATGTGGGGCCAGTGTCCATGTCACAGATCCTAGCAGGTAGGCAGCCTCCCCAGGGCGCTGCCCAGGAGCCAAGAACGCTAGGTCCCCAGGCTCGGTCCCAGAGAGGTGGGAACAAAGGGTGCCTTGTCCTCTCAGCACCTTCCTGGGTGTCAGGCCTGAGTTCAGCTCTTTTGATCCATGTCTAAGCCCAGGTGTGAACCTGCTCTCTACGTTCTCAATGTCTTGTGCCTGAGAAACCTATGCCACTACTGTGGCCAGATGACCAAACCCTTCTCATGGCCCTTGGGACAAGTGCCCCACTCTCCCAAAGAACAGCTTTCTTTATGGGTTTAATGATAGAAACCAGGCCAGCCCCTGCTGGGTGCCCCACCCCCACCCTGTGATTACCTAACAATTGCTCCCTGGCGTTGCTATAGGTCATGAGAACTGAGGATAGGTTCTGGGCCGCTCTGGGAGTAGGCTCTTAGGGGAACTGCCTCAGAGTCCCCGGGTGGACATAAGCCTCCCTAACACCAATGAGCTCCCCTTCCCACACCCCAGTTCCATCCCCAACCCAGTCCCCATCCCAATCCCGATCTAACCACGCTGATAATACAATCAACCAGCAGCACCCCCCTAGCTCTGGAGGCTCAGCCCCTTCCCCTTCCCCCACCCGGGGGACTTCTTCCCGCCCAACCTCTCATAACCCCACCCCAGCTACCTCTCAGCCTTCCTCCCGGGCTTCCTCCCAGTCCCCTAGTCCTCATATCCAACATGGGTCACGAGGGTCCACTCAAGTCCCTACCCCTCCAGCCTCCAAATCTCCCTCCCAGACAGGATTAAAAGTCCTCTCTCGAAATCCTTCCCTGACACCCTCGGTGCCCATGACCAGGTCCCCTTCCCACAGCCCTGCCAACTCGGCCTCCTACATCGGGCCCACCCGCAACATCCCTTCCTACATTGCCCCCTATGTGCCTCGTTTCATGAAAGAGCCCCCCTATTTCCAGCCCCCTACAGTACCTCTTCCGCAAAATCGGTGCTTTCCCTGTCCCTTTCCATGCCAGAACCAGGAATCCAGGCAGCCACCGCCACCACCACCTCCTGACTCTTTCTACTTCCCTCTCCTCCCCCCACCCCCTCACCTCCCCCAGGTGAACTGCTCCTACCCCACACCTCCAGCCCTGTTCACACCCCCATCCTCCCTCTCCTACACTCCACCGACGGATGTCCTGCTGAAGGGGAAGCCACACGTGGTACCCTCGGTGCTACCAGCTACCTTCTATACCCCCTTCTCCCGCTTCTACTCCCAGCCCAGGCCCTACCGCTATCACCGGCGGTTAACACTCCCCTCGCTCTCCCTTCAATACGATGGTTCTGGACGCTCTGTCCACTTCTATCGTGGGTCCTAGGCCTTACACCTATTTTGGACCAGAAACCTCTGCCAGTAAATTCAAGCTCCTGCATCCAGACTTCATCCGCTACCTGACAGAGAGGTATGGGGGATGAGGATGGGGTGGGGAGATGGGAGGGCCTACTTTCCCTTTTCACAGCTATCTCACGTATTTCTAGTGCCTTCAGCTGGGTCTCATTCCCTATACACTGGGACAGCACCCCGTACTGAGTGCCATGTGCCCATCACTGCGCTAAATGCTCCTGTGATTCATTTACTGACTTACTACAGTGATGGGGTACTGCTGATACAGTAGACAGGGTCAGCACAAGATAAACAAGAAATGGGAGAACCCAAAGAAGTTGAGTTCCAGAACCTTCACAAAGCCTGGGTGTACAGTGGTGTTGGGTGCTAAATGTCCAATATCATCACTTTTGGCTCCAAAAGCCACTGATGGGCGAACCAAGGGGAACAGACAGCCTGAGCTGACCTCTCTCCCTCCCTCAGTGCCTCCATGCCCCCCTTCCTCTGTGGTGGTTCTCAGTAGGTTAGGTTGGATATTTGGTTCTGTCAGGACATAGTTTGGGTTGTCATGGAGGGCATGACATTAGTAGGTAGAGGCCAAGGATCTGCCAAACATCCTTCAGTGCACAGGTCCAGCAGTGGTGCCCAATGCTACCCATCCTACAGTTGAGAAACACGCTGTACAACACAAAGGCTAACATCTCAACAAAGTGGTTGACGAAGTGGGTGCAGAAAGGCCAGCGGAAGCTCCGTGAGCTTGAGTGACCTGCCCAGTCAAGCTTTAGACCTAAATCCAGGCCTGAGGTCAGCACCTGTGGGTACTATCACACCAGTGAACCCAGAGCTAGGATCTGAGTGAGCTCCCTGCTCATCCATGATTCCTGCTGGTCCAGTTGTGTGGGGGAGAGAAACTTGGGTCTCAGGTTAAATAAAGAGGCCATCTGTATGTGCCCAAACACTGAAGATATTGGGGTGGGAGACAACAGTTGTAGAATGAAGGGGGGGGTCTCGCCCCATAAGTTGTTTATTTTGTCCTAAAATCTTCACACTTAGATCACTTGGATGTTCACTAAGTAGAGAATTGTGGAGTAAAGGGCCAGTTTCTGAACTTCTACAGCCTGTTTGAGTGGGTAGCCTAGTCCAACACTGCAACCATGGCCCTGGCATTTGACACCTACATGTCCTTCTCAGGTCATTTGTAAATCTGTGGGGAGGCTGGGCAGGGAGAGAAACACAAGCAGAAGCACAGGGAGGTTAGGATGTAGCCTTAGCATCATCTCCTCTCTACTTTGTCTCGTGTTCTTGAAGTTCGCCGGGCTAGCCGACCTTGAGTTTCTGGGATTCTGCTGTCCCTGCCTCCCATCTCACCATAGACACCTGGGACTACAGATGAGTGCTACTGTGTCCAGTGTACGTGGCTGCTGGGGATCCAGATCGGGGTCTTCGAGCTTGTATGACAAGGGTATTACTCAACTCTCCCACAAGCCCCTTCTCAGGGTTTAAAGCTTCGATGTCCTTCCAGGTTTTTGAAATCCAAGTTGCTGAACACACGTTTCGCAGACATATATATGCCTACCACAGGAGCGCTCATGCTGCTGACAGCCTTGCACACCTGTGACCAGGTAGGTGGTGGGCTCCAGGAGCCGTGGCAGCACAGCATGGCTGTCAACAGAACTCCCTGAGGCCCCCTAGTCCTTCCCAAGGCTAGCCACCCACAAGTGGGACTCAGCAGCAGACAGGACTCCCCAGTAGCAGGAGTGCCCATCTACCTGCTTACTCCCATCATCCAGGAGGGTCTGATCTGGGTCAGCCCCACTTCACTGACACCCTCCTTCACTTTTTACTCTACATGGTATTTAAGTTGGTATGGGTCAGACCGCTCTTCTGAAAGCGAAATCTAGCTGGGGACAGCCTAGAGCTGACACGGACAGCGGGTTCAGCCTTCCACATGCAGGAAATCTGAAACTCTGGTAAAAGGTTCCCAGGAGGGCGCCGCCTGGTGATGTGTAAGGAGGCAGGGAGAGGTTGACTGATAGCTCTCAAAGGCAAGCTGTGGATGCAGATGAAGCAAGCATGAGGCCCTAGGTTCATTCAATCCTTGGTACCTTAAAAAAAAATGGGTTGTGGGCTGGATAGATGGCTCAGAGGTTAAAAACACTGGCTGTTCTTCCAGAGGTCCTGAGTTCAATTCCCAGCACCCACATGGTGGCTCACAACCATCTGTAATGAGATCTGGCTCCCTCTTCTGGCCTGCAGAAATACATGCAAACAGAACATTGTATACATAATAAATAAATCTTTAAAAAAAAATGGGTTCTGATCCCTGTAAAGGCATGAGGGATGGAAGCTAGACAGCACCCTGTCCCTGTCCGTTTTACCTATTTTAATTCCGGTGTCCCAACTACAGTCACTGTAGACTTCCTCCATCCTTGAACTTCAAGATCATGATGTCTGGGTCATACTTAAGTTCCAAACCCAGCTCTGCCACTGTCTGCATGGGGACACTTGTAATTACCAATTACCCACTTTGTTCAATGGGGTTAAGACTCATCTTGTGAGGGTCGGGGATTTAGCTCAATGGTAGAGCACTTGCCTAGCAAGCGCAAGGCCCTGGGTTCGATCCTCAGCTCAAAAAAAAAACAAAAAACAACAACAAAAAAAAGACATTTAAACAAGACTCATCTTGTGAGAATGTGTACACAGGGTACAGTACGCATGTTGAGCTGTTTATCTGCACCTCATCTTCACAGGGGAACTGCTTGGGGACAGGCACACTATTTCAAGTCCTTCACTGCATCCTGTGGCTCAAATGCTAACCATGACTGTCCTTGCCCAGGTCAGTGCCTACGGATTCATCACAAGCAACTACCAGAAATACTCAGACCACTATTTCGAACGAGAAAAGAAACCAGTGATATTCTACGCAAACCACGATCTGTCCCTGGAAGCCTCGCTGTGGAAGAGTCTGCATAACGCTGGCATCCTTTGGCTGTACCAGCGTTGACACCAAAGTACCGATTTCTTTGCTTCAAAAGCACTTTTCTTGACCTTTCAACCCCTGGAAGAGGCATGACTCCCCCAGAGGGTACTGAGACAAGACCCACGGCCATCACGTCACCAGAGCCTGTTCAATGTATGACGCCACCTACTCGACAACTCTTCTGGCTCTTAGCCAGGGGAGGGCAGACTGCTTTGCAGAATTTGTTTTAAAATTGAACCTTAACACCCCAAAATGAGACAGTAATCCTCACCAGCAAAGAGGCTGGTAGTTCAATGCCAGCACCTGGTTCTGAGCAGCTAGGAACATTAGAACCACTCCAGGCTATCTGGTAAACAGTAGCAAGCGGAAGCCCACTCCTAGCAGAAACCAATGGCACGTCAAGTCCCAAATGCCAGAGCCATTCAACCTGTGAGGACATCTTAAGCTTTCTGAGAACATGACATTACTGCCTTGTGACGGACAGCGAAAACCAGAGGCAGAATGTAATTTGAGGCTAGCTAATAGGGTAAGTGGTGGATGACCATTTCGTCCTTTTTTGTGTTGATTAGTTTGGAGGGATGGGTGAGGTGCAGCTCAGGACTGTGACTACCGAGCAGGCACAAGCACCAAGGCCCAGGTTTTAAGCACATCCAGCACCAACGTACGGGAGGCACCGGCTCTTGACCAGCTCCACACAAGTTGCCACTACTGAGAGAAGTCCTACTGGAGATATGCCACTCCTTGTCACCAACAGGACACCACTGAGTGACAGACCCTCATCCCCATATCAGATTCAATAAACATCAACTGAGGCACTATCAGTGGCACGAGCTTTTGAAAGCCATTTCAGTCTCATCTAACCAAAGTATCACACCCCCACTAAAACTGTGGAAGGCTGGGGATGGAGAGTGGGTATCCCAAGGACTGCTGGCTGGATACCCCGAAGCAGCACACCTACACTGGCCAGCTCCCCAAGGTTGAGGACTGACATTTGGTTCTATGGTTTGGAAAAACTGGTGGGGAGGGACAAACTCATCACTAACAACCTAACAACTTTAAAAACCTCTATTCCCAGTCCAGGGAGATGGTCCCAGCCTGGTCTACATGGCCAGCCAGCCAGAGCACATAACAGACCATGTGCCCAACAGTGGCCATAGTGGACCCCATCTGTAATCCCAGAACTGGGCGGGGGGGGGAGGCTGAGACAGGTCCAGTTTGGGGTAGAATGAGCTTAGGCCAGCCTGGGTTTTAGTTCCTGGGAAAACCACAGCCTCTTGCTACCCCGAGAGCAGGAGTTAGAATGGGGGGTAAACAGACAGACTCTCAGAAGCCCTGCCAACTAATTTCATAGTTCTATGTCATTTCTTCAGACTACCTCAGTCCCTTCCAGCCGACTGTACTTAAACCCCACTGCCCTGGCAACCCACATTTCCCTGGCACCCTTTGATCCACAGTGCAGACACATTAGCAGTACTTTCATCAATGAACTACTGATTTTTTTTTTTAATGTGCATTGGTGTTTCGCCTGCATCTGTGTCTGTGTGAGGGTGTCAGGTACTGGAGTTATAGACAGTTGTGAGCTGCCATATGGGCATGGGTCCTCTAGAAGAGCAGTCAGTGCATATAACTGCTGAGCCATCTCTCCAGCCCCAAACCATTGATTTTTCTTAAGACCTATTTTTATGTGTATAGGTATTTTGCCTGCATGCCTGGTACCCATGATGGCCAGAAAAGGGTATAGCATTCCTTGGGACTAAGATTAGATGGTTCTGAGCCACCATTGGGTACTGAAACTGAAGCCAGGTGTTCTGGAACAGTCAGTGCTCTTCAACAGTTATTTCCCCAACCCATCATCACTGGATTAAGTGTGAAGTAATGTTAAGCGACAAGCAGGTCAATAGAAACTGTCTGATTCTCTGCACTTAGACTCAAGTATTGTTCTAGAACACTCCTCAATCTCACATCCACAACGCTAGTGAGTTAAATTTTATAAAGTTTATTTGTGCTTCAAAACACAAAGCCCAACCCTGACTTCTCAGGAAATCCACTGTGAGAAATGCTTTTTCAGATACAGCACCTGCCTCCCCAGTGCCTCCAACTGAGAGCACTCAGTAGCTGCCAGAGGCTTCCCAGGGTGATCGCAGTCACTTAACTCTGCTGGCTACTTTTGCAGATCAAACTCCAAGGTCTTCTGATGACACTCTCTGGGAGATTAAGGGCAGCAGCGGCGGCGGCAGGGCACTACAGGGCAATAACCTGAAAAAAAAAAAAAAGGTGAAGCTAACAGCTGCTGACTTAGTGACGCAAAACTGAAGAATTTGGAAACCAGCACAATCAGCCTGGGGCTCGTGCCACTACCATTTACCAGGCATTCTGTGCACTGAGCACAGGCGGGCACTGTCGTGTCAAAGTTCCAATGCAGGCTGATGAACTAGCTCTTTTTTTTTAAAAGGAGACAAAAGTTTGTGGTAATGGTCAAAAAAGAACTCCCATGTAGCATCAGGAATATTTACATTCAACTCACTCCCTCTGGACATGAACCTGAGTCACCCAGGAGCAAACCCGGGCAGACCTGCTTCCCTGTAGGCAGCTAGGGCTCAGTAAATCTCACACAAGTGAAGCTACTTTAGGTGAAGAAGTAAGAAAGCCTGTACACACAGCCCAGTTTCCACAGGAAAGGACACACTGGTCACTGAAACAGGAATTACTAAGGCATTGCCCAACCCACCCCAACGCCACTTGCTTCTTTCTTGCTCCTCTGGTGCCCATCAAGCAGCCACGACATTTAGCCAGGACCTAAACAGTACCAAGCACCTTCCTGCTGCAGAGGCACGGACTGGGTCAGTAGGCATTCTCAAGGCACAAGCTGGCACAGGCCTTACATTCCTGTCTCCTTCAAAAGAGCACATTCATTTTCTAGAAATATGTGACAAACACCCTTTCACTCCACAACATGAGTACAAAATGAGCCCTGGCAACAGGCCCATTTCTGCTAACTCGGGAGCTTTGCCCTCAGTCTCAGAGCCTTCACTCAAGGGAGAGGATTGTAGGGCAATCCGACCACAGGTTTTTGGAAGGCTGTCCCAGCAGGACACACACAGCTCTTTATGGAGTCCACTTGATCCCTTATAAAGCTCGAATTTCTGCAAGCATGGAGCCACACCCCTAAGCCTCAGAACAGAGTATTTTCCCTCAGCTGAAATTTTCAGACAGGGATAACTAACCATCCATCATAGGCTTATGGGCTTTTTTGGAACACAAAATGGGAACATGAAATCACAAAGGGCCAGGCATGATGACACATACCTTTAATCTTAGCACTTGGAAGGCAGAAGCAGGTGGACCTCTGGGAGTTTTACATCAACCAGGCCAACTGGGACTTTACAGTAAGACTATCTCAAATTAAAGGGGGAGGGAGTTAGAGAGAAGGCAATTGCTTTACTTGTCACAAGAGAGCCTCTCACCTTGCACAACCCAAAGAAACAAAACCATGTTGAAATCTCCCTGCCACTTAGCACAGAGTAAGGGAATTAAAAGCACAGATGCTCCCCTCCACCCAGCTGTGTGAAGAAGTGCTGCCGCCTACCCGCATCATTCAGTCTAGGCACAAGTCCAGGTGCAGGATGGTTACCTGTGTGGCTGCTGTAGCATCCCTTTTTGCCCCAGAGATTCAGCCTGCACCTGGTGATAAGGAAACACAAGGTAACTCTAAAGCAACTCACTGAAAAACCGCTCAGAGTCTGCCTGTCGCCTGGGAAGCTGAGTTTCAGATATCCACATTCCACACAGAAAGGCCTCTTGACCTTCAGACAGGGATAACTTTACATCATCATGGACTCAGCTCCCACAGAACTGCCAGCCTTTGAGCATGAGAACACTTTTAAAAGCTTTTTAAAAAGATGTTTCTATGCCTGGCGATGGTGGCGCACACCTAAATCCCAGCACTCGGGAGGCAGAGGCAGGCGGATCTCTGTGAGTTCGAGGCCAGCCTGGTCTACAGAGTGAGTTCCAGGAAAGGCGCAAAGCTACACAGAGAAACTGTCTTGAAAAAAAAAAAAAAAAGTTTCTATGTGTATGTTTTGACTACATACGTGGACCGTGTGTGCCTGGTGCCTTTAGAGACCAGGAGAGGGCATTGGATCCCCTAGAAGTGGAATTACAGTTGGCTGCCTGAAGCAGGTACTGGGAAATGAACCCAGGTCCTCACCAAAAGCAGGTATTCTTAACCACTGAACCATTTCCCTGGCTACTCCTGTCCTCTTAAAGACAGGGTCACTAACATTTATTGTTTTTTTAAAGATTTATCAATTTATTATGTATACAGAAGAGGGTGCCAGATCTCATTACAGATGGTTGTGAGCCACCATGTGGTTGCTGGGAATTGAACCCAGGACCTCTGGAAGAACAGTCAGTGCTCTTTACCTCTGAGCCATCTCTCCAGCCCAGGGTCACCAACATTAAGGAAGCCAAGGCACAACTGGACCCAACCTAGCAAATTCAAGGCCAACCCAGGCTACATGGTAAGACCTTAGGGGTAGAAAAAGGTCACTCCCAGCAGCATCTGTCTGGTTGCTGAACCAGAGTCTTTGACAAGTCCTTCCGACCTATCATCGGAATGCCCAAAATGGTTTAGGTCACCCATTACTTCAGCTGACCTACTGAAAGACAACCATTTATCATACCCACTACCAAAAGATGACATCGTAGTTTCTCCTCCCCCATCTACATGTGCAAGAGTAAGCATGTGGTTTTCAGTTTTTTTTTTTAGATTTATTTATTTATTATGTACACAGTGTCTGCCTGCATGTGTCCCTGCAGGTCAGAAGAAGGCGCCAGATCTCATTACAGATGGTTATGAGCCTCCATGTGGTTGCTGAGAGTTGAACTCAGGACCTGTGGAAGAGCAAGCAGTGCTCTTAACCTCTGAGCCATCTCTCCAGCCCCGGCTTTCAGTTTTTAAAGACTGAGATTAGAAATCTACCCCAAACCGGGCAGTGATGGCACATACCTTCACATTAATCCCAGCACTTGGCAGAGGCAGGTGGATCTTTGGGAGTTTGAGGCCATCCTGGTCCACAAGAGCAAGTTCCAGGACAGCCAGGACTACACAGAGAAACCTTGTCTCAAAAAAAAAAAGAAAAAGAAAAAGAAATCTATCCCAAGAGCCTCTTAAAAACAGCCAGCCCTCTACTCTTGCTGTAAGAGAATCCTAAACTCACAGTAGAACAGATCATCGAATAGTTTCTGCACACCTGTTCTTAGACCTCCTACAAGGTTCTGGAGTCCATTCTCGAACCATTCTCGTCCACGTGGACCCAGGAAACACTTTTTAGGTGTTCTGAGATACGTCCAGGTTTGGGAACCACTAATTCTGCTTTACAAAAGATTCAAGGCTCTGGGTCACTATCAGCCAGCAGGCCCAAATCTTTAGTTCATCTAAAATGCAATTTCGCCTCAGTGTGTAAAGGAGAGAAAAAACTTACTGGCAAACACACGCCATGGCACACTCACATACAAAAGAAACAATCTCTAAGAATGCACAAGGCTCAGGTTCAAAGGGTTGATCTCTACTCCCCCCCCCCCAAAAAAAACCTATATAAAATGCAATTTCTACGAGTTTCTTAACTTCAGCTGTACTGACATGCTGGGTGCAGAAGTCCTTATAATGGCTGCCCTGTGCCTTGAAGGACAGTCATCCAGCATCAATTAAGATGTCCCCTGGAAGCCAACAGCTGCTTATATAACTCTGAGCATAATCCCCTAAGCCTCAGTCTACGTGGCAGCAGAGTGGGGAATAATTTTGTGTTCACAAACTTTTTACCTCTTATGAAAGCACTAAGTGAAGAGCAGAGAGGAGAGACTCCATGTTTCTTCCCTTCTCTGAGCAATTACATCCTGCAACACCTACAACCCCAAATCTAACAGACCAATCCTTCTAGGCAACCACAACCCTGCAATTCTATGAAGCTCTTACCACACACAGCATCACCATGAAGATCCTTACGTACCACATCTTATGATGATGTCTCCAGGAGCCAACTCCAATCTAAAAGAGTAATTAAGGCAACAGACTTCATTCTAACAGAAGCAACCTTAAGGCGTTTATTCTCAAAATAGGAGTTAAAAAGTTGAGGCTCAGTAAACCACAACTCTTCAGACAGGGATAGCTTTAAATCATCCTCGGCTCAACCAATAACAAACCCCTAAATCCCAGCCAACCCAAGATCATTTTCCAAGTCTCTCCCCTCCATCCCTGTACACCATGTCATCCATGGTGATTTCAAGAATGACACTTGGTGGTCCCAAGTTACACTGGCAGACCCTCTTCTTACCCAAACTCTTACCGAAATGGACTCATGGTTCAACATGTGTTCTTACAGCTGAACTTCAGAACTACCGCATGAAGCAGATGCCCACCATCTATCTCCACCGTCTTACTGGTGGCCACACCGGTCTGTTTATGCTTAGGGATCCTGCCATTACTTCTGGGATGGAACCTCCAGCTCTGCTTCCCAACGTCTCAACCGGTGCCAAAGGCATGCCTTCGAGGAAGGGAAAAACATGCCATCTAAAACTATGGATTTTCAGTTTACAATCCCCTTTATTACCACCCGCAGTCATTAAACAATGTCAAGGCACTACCAGCAGGCACACGGATTCACATTTAATTCTGGAATTAAAACCACCACCCTCAATGGAGTCCCCAGGAACCGCATGCTCCACGCATGGCTGGCTGTGAGGCCCAGGGGGCTGGGCAAGTTGGAAGGACCCCCAAGAGACGGGAATTCGAAGCCTAAAATGGGCTTCAGCCCTCTTTCACATAAAACTCCTCGCAGTCTGGAGAGCAGTTTTTTTTAAAGACAGACTCTCAAGACCATCTAAGCCCTTTAATGGCAAAGGAGAGGAAATGCTTGTCCTCGCCACTTCACCTCTGGAGAAGGGGCCATGCACGTCGGCAGGACGTGGAGAAAAAAAAAAAACTCATTTCCCCTCTCCCACTGCTTACCAACACCCCAAGCCCTAGCCTGTTCAGTGAGTGCACGGCGGACAGAAGCAGCCATGACTTCCACACACGCGGCGGCGGACCTCGGAAAGAACGAGGTTGCGCCTGCGCGAAGTCTCCCCCCCCACCCCGCCCCAGTCTCGCCGGGACTCTCGCGGTGTTGAGAACGACCTGATGGGAAATGTAGTTCTAAACTAACCGTTGCCGAGAGCTGGTCGTCTCACTCCAGAGTGAGTCTGAAGAGAAGGGGTCAGATGGTGACCGTCACCAGGGGGCAGCAGAGCTTCCTGGGTGGGAGGTTTGCTCGGTGGAGAACCTCGGCGGTCCCTGGCTAAAGCTGGGGAGGGGAAGAATGTTCGAGGGCGCAGGGACCGATGAGGAAACTGAGGCTCGTTGTGAATTGCTCTGCGGATTTTATCTGGGGTGGAGAGGCGTCCCTTGGATTTGCTCGTTAGTGAAGCCCAGGGAGAGTCCCAGGGCTGCTTTTAAGACGGGGGCGAGAGCGGGTGCAGGCGGCAGGGGGCGCTCGAGCCGTAGGGTCCTGCCTGCCTGTGACACTGTTCTAAGGGGAATAGCATGAAATCGTGCAAACAGCGGTGAGGGGACAGAGCCGCAGGTCCAGGCTGTCACCTCCAGAAGCCTCGAGTGACCTCGACTTCAGTGACAGCCGACCTCGTCCCGGCCTCGGTGCTGAAGAGGACTTGAGGACTAGCCAGTATAAGTTAGAGATAACATTATTTTGTTAATAGAGGTAGCGAGCGTGAGGATTGGGAGAAAGACAGGCGCTCAGAAGAACGACGTACCCCAGTGTGGGAACGGGCTCAAGCGGGAGTTGCAGCTCGTTGCCGTGGCATTAGCCATGTATACTATTTCGGTGGCTCTTGAGTTGCGTCTCAAGCGGTTGCTAGGAGACACCCCCCCCCCCTTTTCTTGCTCTCTTGATAAGTGAGATAAGTGTGGTGGCTCCAGAGGGGCTTTGGATGGAACTGTCGTCCAGAAGCCACTAGGGGTGGCTTAGGGAGGGAGGTTTAGTTGTGTCCTCCCCTTGTAAATGTAGTTGGTCTATGGTGAGAATCCCAGAAAACTGTAGTTTCATATCTGGGAAGAGAGAAAAGGCCTTAAGTGGTTGGTAATTCATGCTTCTCTGTTAGCAAGAGCCTCCAACCAGATTCCTGAATGAGGGACCCTTCTCCTTCTCATGTCCCCGAGGTTTTCCATGCCTTTCTATCCTGCCGGATGTTGAGTGTCTTTCTTCAGTCACTGTCTTGCCTTCATTTTTTTAACCGGGCAAAATGCCAAAGCAGGGCCAGAACGTACACCTATTTAGAAACGAGTTTAAATTGGTAAGATCGGGAGCCTTGTCTTCAATAACTCTTACCCATTCCCCTGGAATAGGACTTGGTAGCATTTAGCTTGTACCATTTTTTTAAATGTGGAAATCTGTTGCTGATACATATTCTTAATGACCATATTTGCTTATATTTCTCTCCTTTAATTTGATTGTGAATGCTTCATGAGCAGGGAGATGTCTCTTAATATTTTCTTAATTTCCTCAGTGCTGGGTTTCGTGTTTGGCTGTCTTCTCACAGAATGTTCCAAGGAAATAACGACTAATTTATTCAGCAGGAACACAGGCCCTTGAATTTGTCTATCTTACCCTTGAAGACAGATTATTTTGTTTAATACTAAAAGCAAGAATGCCTTTTCCCTCAGCACACTAAGATCTTTCATTTGAGACTTGCAGAGGGAATTCTGAAGAATTTGCCCAGAGCTGCTTGTGAAACTTGTGGGCACGTGACCTTCTGCAGACAAGATAATCATGGCAGTTAATACTTTTTGGAATTTGCTGGGTGGCTATTCACTATATTGGGCCCTTTAATCCTCCCAATCTATGAGGCACTGTCATTATCCCATTTGGCAGACGAAGAAATACATATTGAGAGATGAGGTACTGTTTAAAGTTACACGAGTATCTGGCAGACTTGGTTTGATCGAAGCCTGTGGAGTTTATGTGTTTATCACTAAGTTGCTCCATACCATGAGTAAATCGATCTAATATGGAAGAACTTTCCTTTCACGGGAAAGGAGACACAAAGGAGGATTTTTGTGTCTTTAAAAAAAAAAAAGTGCCGGGCGGTGGTGGCGCACGCCTTTAATCCCAGCACTCGGGAGGCAGAGCCAGGCGGATCTCTGTGAGTTTGAGGCCAGCCTGGTCTACAGAGTGAGTTCCAGGAAAGGTGCAAAGCTACACAGAGAAACCCTGTCTCAAAAAAAAAAAAAAAAAAAAAGTATTGCTGGGCGTGGTGGTGCAGCACTTGGGAGGCAGAGGCAGTGGATTTCTGTGAGTTCAAGACCAGCCTGGTCTACAGAGTGAGTTCCAGGCAGCTACACAGAAACCCTGTCTCGGGGGAAAAAAAAAAAGTATGTATGTGAACATGTATGCAGGTGGCACAGAGGTCAGAGATCAACTTTGGGTGCCTTTCTCAAACACCCTCCACCTTATTTTTTTAAATCAAAATCTCTCACCAAACCTAGAGCTTGTGGATTTGGCCAGGTGACTGGAGCTCCTGGGATCCCCCTGTCTCCACTTCCCCAGAGCTGGGATTACAGGCACATGCCACCGTACTCAGTTTATTCTTCCATTTTGTTTGTTTATTTATTTATTTGGGGGGGGGCTGGGGAGTGTTTTGCCTGCATGTATTTCTGTGCACCACATGTGTGCCTGGTGCCTACAGAGGACAGAAGAGGATGTCAGATTACCCTGGAACTGGAGTTACGGTTGTGAAGTGACATTTGGTTTCTGAGAACAGAATCTGGATCCTCTGGAAGAACAAATGCTCTTAGCCACTGAGCTGTTTCTCCAGCCCCTGCAGCCAGCTTCTTATGTGAGTGCTAGGGATGTGGGCTCATGTCCCAGCTGCAAGTTTTCTGTCTTCACAGAGGTGATTGGAGACTAATAAAAATGTTGACTGAAGAATGCTGAGCACCTGTTTTGTTGGTTAGAGCCACATGGTGGCGGAGTGGGGATGAGCATCTGTAGGAGCCTCTTTCTGGATCTGGCTGTCCCGTCTTGGGGGCCCCAGGCTAATGCCTCCCACTCTACAGAGAGGCCGCTGTTCCTAGCTCCTCACCCTGCCATAGGTCTCTGTGTGGATTTCACCCCTGACAAGGGCACAGTTTCTCCTGCACAGCTCATTTGTACATCACTGAACAGCCACAGGCACACAACCAATTCGGGTGCCACCAGCAAGCTGGGCAGTGGCCAAGAGGCTGGAGCAAACGCCAAGAGGCCTTGTGCCTGAGCACACATGAGACGCAACTGTGTAGGCAGTCTAGAAATAACTGGAGAAGCTTCAAAGACTGCATCAGAACTCCTGAATGAGCAGCCAAGGACAGAGCTGCTCAGAATGAAGTGCTAATGTTACTGTGATCCCGTTTGCACGCTGCTGCTGAGATCTAGTGCATCTGAGTCTTGCGCACAGCAGAACCCTCTAGCCAGCCTACAAGACTAGTGCAGATCGCTATTACCAAGTAAAGAACCACGGCCTGGCGCTAAGTGTCGGTGGACAAGCTGACGATCGCCCCAGTGCGAGCAGAGACCCAACCTCAGAGTGCACAGGGGAAATCAGTCAGCTGGCCTGCTGTGCTGGGGCAGTCACCGACGGGACTGATGACAGACGCCGCGTCTGAAACCCACAGTAAGAAAGCAGTCTTTACAATATTGAAATTCCCTTCTTAATTCCAAAGGGGATCTTTGATTTTATTAATAAGGTCATGAAGGAGGGTTGGTGGTGACCTCCAAGCAGCTGGCTGCTTACACTGGAAGCAGCCACACCAGTGATCTCACAGGAAGTATGTCTGTATGCAGGCATGTTGGTGGTCGGCCTGGAAGCTGGTCTTCTTCCATCTTGTCTACAATACAAGTCTAGCCAAGTGTGGGGAATTCTTCTTTAAAAGCAACCTCCTCTCTTCTGGCTCTGGGACATTGTAGAGAGATGTGATGCTTGGGCTTGCCACGGCCGTCTGGAATCTGTGAGGCTTCCTTCAAAGCAAGAGTCAAATGCCTCTGAAGAGGGACTGGAAAGAGGAAAGGAGTCCTTGAGGCTGCTGGCAGGCTGCTGAGACAGCCAGTCCTGAAGCCTTGGCTTTCACCTCTCATTGGTTTAGAGAGACACGTTCACGTTTACTACTTCTGTGTGTCGGATACTCCTTAAAAGTTTCAGTGAAGTACAGGATGTGAGACACAAGAAAGAAATGTCATTGTTTAAGTCATTTCAAGTTGGGGTTCTGTCAAGAGTCCTAATCAGAATAAATGACAGTGGTATTTCCCATGTCTTCATAAAGAATTCCATGGAAGAAGCTGGGAATGGTGATACACACTTTTAATCCCAGCACTCAGGAGGCAGAGGCAGATGAATTTCTGTGAGTTCTACCAGCCAGGGCTACACAGTGAGATTAGATTTCAACAAACAAAAAACAAAACACCCAGGAAAAGCCGTACCTTCACCCACCTTATCTGCAGAGCTGTTTCCTCTAATAAAATTACTCCAAAACAGATTTTTAAAAATAAACAAATTTGAAGCCTAGGCAGTATTGTCTGGACCTCATCTGTTTCCTGGACATGTCTCCCCGTTCCCGGAAATCCTGCCTTCTCCGTGTTACCTTGTTGCATAAGCCTTCCTTGTGGTGGTTTCTGCTCCCTTTGCTTTGACTCCCCTTCCTCTGCTCTCTGTTTACGATGGGATTCCAGCTGGTCTCCAGCTCCTCCTCAGCCACCCTGCCGAGTCGGTCTCCAGGTTCTCCTTGTGGCACCTTTCTTAGGCAGGTGGTTTAGCATGTGCTCTGATATCAGACCAGCCTGGAGGCTAATCCCAGCTCCACTGAACCTAGTTTGAATAACTCTGGGCAGATTACTTTACCTACCTCTATCCTCATCTCTTTGTTTGTTTGTTTTTGTTTTCAAGACAGGGTCTCACTATGTAGCTCTGCTTGTCCTGGTGCTCACTCTGTAGACCAGGCTGGCCTCAAACTCACAGAGAGCTGCCTACCTCTGCCTCCCGGTGTTGGGATTAAATGCCTGTACCACTGCACCTTCTCATCCCTTGATCTTTACAACAAGAGAGGAGGAGGATCATTTGACTCTCCTGGGATTAAGACTGTCTATTCAAAGCACTTGCACAGTGCATGGGAACTCTTTTTTTTTTCTTTCTTTCTTTCTTTCTTTTTTTTTTTTTTTTTAAGATTTATTTGTTATGTATACAGTGTTCTTGCATGTATGCCTGCAGGCCAGAAAAGGGAACCAGATCTCATTACAGACAGTTGTGAGCTACCATGTGGTTGCTGGGACTTAAACTCAGGACCTCTGGAAGAGCAGTCAGTGCTCTTAACCTCTGAGCCATCTCTCTAGCCCTTTTTTGGTTTTTCAAGACAGGGTTTCTCTGTGTGGTTTTGGTGCCTGTCCTGGATATCGCTCTGTAGACCAGGCTGGCCTCGAACTCATGCAGATCTGCCTGGCTCTGCCTCCCGAGTGCTGGGATTAAAGGCGTGTGCCACCACTGCCTAGCCAAATGGGAATTCCTGATGCTTATATTTATTTCTTCTCACATTCATTATACCACTTTTTAAAATATCTTTTATTTACGTGCATGTGTATGTGTCTGCTTGAGTTTACATGCACTGTGTGTACAGATACCTACAGAGGCCGTAGAGTGTCAGATTGCCTGGAACTGGAGTGTCAGATAGTAGTGAACCACCTGATGTGGGTGCTGGGAACTGAACCTGAGGCCTCTGTAAGAGCAACACGTCCTTTTACCTGTTGGGCCATCTCCCCGGTCCCATTCTGCTTTTTATCTTAATTTCCTTCCTCCCCCCACTCCCTCCCCATATTGGACAACACACCCCGGCCGTGTCCATGCAAGACAAGTGCCGCTCCCCTCTCTTTGCTTTTGCTTGGGTGGGGGACAGGCTCTCACTAAAGTTGCACAGCCCGGCTTTGAACTTGTAACCAGCTTCTCTGGTGTCTGGGATTAGAGGCCTGTGCCACACTTGCTTCGATCTTGCTGTTTTTGCTGGACTATGAACAAATAATGATTAGGTTTCCTTCTTGTTTTGGTTTGAACTTTGTAAGCCATCTTTATTGAGGTATAAAATACATCCCAAATGTACTGTAAGCGAACACATGCATGCATAGAGGCATATTCCCAATCGAGATTCAAAACCTTGTTGTCACCCTGGGCACCCACCTGCCTTTTTTACAGTCAGTTCCCATACCCAGACCTGGCCTGAGGCAGCCATTGCTCTGCACTCTCTCAGTATCAATTAGTCTCATCTCTTCCTAGCATTTCATAAATATAACCACAAACTCGATCCTCCCGGGTCTGCTTTCTTAACCTTCCTGTGTTGTCTCTTACATAAATACCACACTTCCTTTTTTGTTTATGAGTGTTATTCCAATGTTCAAACATGCCTCAGTGTCCCCATTGATATCTGTTGGTAGATATCTGGGTTATTTTCAGTGTGGAACTATAATTAGCAAAGCTCCTGCTGTCAACACTTTTGTGAAATCTTTTTGTGGACATAAGTTTTAATTGTCCTTTAATTACTTTTTTTTTTTTTTTTTTTTTTTTTTTTGGTTTTTCAAGACAGGGTTTCTCTGTGTAGCTTTGTGCCTCTCCTGGAACTCACTTGGTAGCCCAGGCTGGCCTCGAACTCACAGAGATCCGCCTGCCTCTGCCTCCCGAGTGCTGGGATTAAAGGCGTGCGCCACCACCGCCCGGCCTTAATTACTTTATAAGACACTACTGCACTCATTTCCAAAGTGGTTACATTGTAGGGTTTCAGACACCCCAGATATTCACTTTATGATAGCTTTGTAGAGGCTGATGATGTTTTTGAGTTTATTGGCCATATGCATATTTTTTTTCGTAGAGTGGTTTTTAAAACCTTCCCCTCCCCCCCTTTTTTTTTTTTTTTTTTTTTGGTTTTTCGAGACAGGGTTTCTCTGTGTAGCTTTGTGCCTTTCCTGGAACTCACTTGGTAGTCCAGGCTGGCCTCGAACTCACAGAGATCCGCCTGGCTCTGCCTCCCGAGTGCTGGGATTAAAGGCGTGCGCCACCACCGCCCGGCCCCCTCCCCCTTTTTAAAAATTGTACTAATTGTTGAATTGTAAAAGTTTTGGTTTGGTTTGGTTTGGTTTTGGTTATTTGAGACAGAGTTTCTCTGTGTAGCCTTAGCTGTCCTGGCCACGAACTCAGAGATCTGCCTGCCTCTGCCTCCCAAGCGCTGAGATTAAAGGCGTGTGCCACCACCGCCCGGCTTGTTTTGTTTTGTTTTTGTAAAAGTTCTTTTAAGAAATATTTTTATTTTATTTTTCTTTGTGTATGTGGGGGTGGCTGTGTGCATGTGAGTTCAGTGCCCAGAGGTCAGAAGAGAGTGTCAGATCCCCTGGAGCTGGAGTTACAGGCAGTTGTGGGTGCTGGGAATAGAACTCAGGTCTCCTGGAAGAGCAGCTTGTAACTGCCGAGCCAGCTCTCCAGCCCCTCAGCTGTAAAAGCTCTTCATTCTATTTTTTAATTGATTTCTTTACTTTCATATGTGTGCATATGTACCTGCATGCGGTGGTGCACATGAGAACCCTTTAAGTTCAGAAGAGGGCATTAGATCCCATGAAACTGGAGTTACAGACTGTTGTGAGCTACCTCAGGGGTGCTGGGACCTGAACCCTGGCCCTCTGCCAGGGTTCTTTACCCTTGCTCTTTACCCCAAAGCTATTTCTATTCTAGATGCCAAGTCTTTCTTAGATTTTTGTTTTGTTTTTGAGGCAGGGCCTCACTATGTAGCCCTGACTGGCCTGGAGCTCACTATGTAGACCAGGCTGGCCTCGGAATCACAGGGACCCACCTGCCTCTGCCTACCGAGTGCACCACAGTGCCCAGCTTGTTTGGGGGTTTGTTAGATGTGTGTGGTGCGGGGGACTGAATCCAAGGCTTTGCGCTTGCTAGTCCAGTGCCCCAGCACTGAGCCACGCCCCACCGCTGAGCCACGCCCCACCGCTGAGCCACACCCCAGCACTGAGCCACGCCCCACCGCCGAGCCACGCCCCACCCGGGCCATTTGTCTTCCGTTTGGCCAGTGTTCCCTCCCAGTCTTCGCCCTGTGTCAGTTTACTTCTGTTCAAGTGCAGTTGGTTTTCCGTATCCTGTTGAATTGTCATTGCTGCTTCTGTTTGTGTGGGTCACCACGAGTGTCGCACTGTCTCTTCACCTGTCCTGGTTTCCCTTCCCTGAGCACCAGACAAGTGGTTGTCTCTGAGCAGAGGCCGAGACAGTCACGAGGTCGCTGTGTGTGCCACCCACTGCCATGTCTGCGTCTTATATCTTGTCCAGTGGCTGGTTGGGTTTGACAGGTGCTCTGAGTCTGTTTTTGTACCCTGGCACGCAGACACTCCATAAATGTCCGTCATGTAGGCACATCTTTGTCAGCACCTCCGGACACAGTCCATCACAGTCTGTCTCGGTGGGGGTAATCTACGGAGCCCCTGGAGATCATCTGGCCACTTCCCTTCATTTTTCTCGACAGCTTGTTTCCTGAGGAGGTCATTAGCTCTTCACATCTCAGCACCAGGCCATGCAGAATTAACATGTTTACTGAGTGGGGAAACTGAGGTCTAGGGAACAAAAGGTCATTTGAGTTGCAGGAACTAGACTTCCTCACCAGGCTCTTTCCATGGCCGTAAGCAGCAGAGCAGGGAAAGCAGCTAACATTGCCACTTCACTCCCAGCACCCCTTGCTATCTGTGCATCTCATGGCCTCCCATGGCATGCTTGTCAGTCAGATGAATACATGCTAACTTTTTTAGTGCTTATTTCATGTAGCTTTTGCCTATGCATGTGATTGGGTGTGTATCGTGTGTGTGTGTGTGTGTGTGTGTGTGTGTGTGTGTGTGTGTGTGTGTGTGTTTGTGTGTGTCTGGCACCTTGACTGGCTCATATGCTTAGAGTCTGTCATTAAATCCTTTGGTTTGTTTGAATTTTCATAGCCACACCTTGGTCTTGACCCCCGACTAGGGGGCACAGGTAGCTCACAGAGAGGGTCTGTGGTCCTAATGCAGGTCAGTGGACCCCCCATGTCACTTTCTTGCACTCCACGCCCTGCACCCGCCCCCTGGTAAACAAACAAACCCAAGCCACCCCTGCCTTCCTCAGCCCTCCTCCAATGCAGCTAGGCTGCTGGCTGTCACCCTCTCCCAGGGTCCCGGCCCTAGCTGAAGGAGGCAATGGAGTAGCCAGTGACAGGGACTGTGAGCAATGGCCTTGCTGTCTGTCATCCCCGCCAGGGGCTACCACTTCCGCTTCAGGATGATGCTAAGGAGGCGGGCTCTCCTTGCTCTCCTCAGCTGGCAAGCAAGGACTAGCCTTTCAGATTCCAGGATCTGGCCTGCCTTTGATTGACATGTGCCTGAAGAGAAAACAGCAACCTGTTTTTCATTTCTTATTTCTCATTCCTCATATCTCAACAGAAAACCCCAGCAGCCCTGGCCCACCTGCATAGACATGGCAGGCAGTGTCCTTGTCTGTAGGTCACATCCTGCATTTCTTCACAGCCCTCATCTCCAGACTCAAGACCTCTCTACCATCAGCTTTGGCATCAGATTCCCAGACACGGGTCCTGGCTTCACTGCCAGCTGTGACCTTGGACAAATTATGTGAACTTCACTTTCCTTATTGGGTAAATGAGGCTAACAACAGTTCCTGCCTCATCAACGAGACCGTGCTTATAAATAAGGCACCGGGCACAGTGCCTAGCATATAATAAGTGTTTGATCCGTATTAGCCATTATTAATAGTATTATTAGTGTCGTTAGCATTCCGTTCATGTAAGATGCAGCATGGCCACTCTTCTGTCCTCCTTGTTTTCTGGCTCACAAAGAAACAGCACTTTCCTCCAGCCCAAGGGCTCAGCTTCTCCTTAACAGCAAAGCCCCTGTAAAGACTACTGGCTGCCCATGGAGCCAGGAAAGTGAAGTACCCAGTTCTGCTCTTGCCTGCCTCAAAATGGGTCCCAGGTTTCACCTAATCTAGTATTGGCCAGCACCTCTGCCGCGCTCTGCAGGCATACACACTCTACACATTTCGGGGGGGTGGGCACTCCCCAAAGTCTCAGCTGCACTTTAGGGTGGTACAGGACAGAAACAGCTGCTGAAGCTGCTAGAACCAGTCCCCTTGCTCCCCCACACCACCTCATTCATTCTCTGGTCATGTTCCAGTCTCCAGCCACAGAAGCAGCAGACAGCAGCGCTCCCTGCTCAGGCCGCCCCTTGGCCACCCCGCAGCTCCGCCAGCCTTTTCCCTGTCACTCAGGCTCTCTCCAGCAGAGAGATTAGCATTCAGACAAGGGAGGGAAGGTATCAGGGTTATGGGCTCCTGTCCTCAGCAGCCGAGATTGGCTTGGAAAGCAAAGCCTGTCACAAGGGAGGTGTCCAGGCTGAGACAGCCTTCTGCACACAGAGGCCCTTGATGGGTGTTCTCACCCTCCGGCTCCCCTGTCACCTGCCTCTTCTCATTTGCCCCTCACCCAGCTATGGCGTATGGGCAGCACCCCACACCGGCAGCCAGCACCCCACACCAGCGGCCAGCACCCTACACCAGCGGCCAGCACCCCACACCGGCAGCCAGCACCCCACACCAGCAGCCAGCACCCCACACCAGCGGCCAGCACCCCACACCAGCGGCCAGCACCCCACACCAACAGCTACTCATCTCAGCTCTCTCTCCCCAATTGTCCTTAGCTTTCTTTCTACCAAGCACATGAATATTCCTGCTCCTATTTCCAAACAGCAGCTATTTCTAAGGAAATGGGAAAGGAAGGGACTCGGCCTCTACGAAGACAGTGTCATGGCCAGGAATTAAATGACACCCCCTCATACTTTAAAGGTGCTCCCTTGACCTGTGTGATGGGAGTTTGTGGGCTCAGAGAAGGCATCTGTGAAATGGGCACCTCCTGTGGAGGAGTTCCAGGATGGGGAAGGGCACCTGGGCAGTGGATGCCTCCTGAGGAGGAGTTCTGGGATGAGGGAGGGCACCTGGGCAGTGGGTGCTCCTGTGGAGGAGTTCCAGGATGAGGGAGGGCAACTGGGCAGTGGGAGCCTCCTGTGGAGGAGTTCTGGGATGAGGGAGGGCACCTGGGCAGTGGAAGCCTCCTGAGGAGGAGTTCCAGGATAAGGGAGGACACCTGGGCAGTGGGAGCCTCCTGTGGAGGAGTTCTGGGATGAGGGAGGGCACCTGGGCAGTGGAAGCCTCCTGAGGAGGAGTTCCAGGATAAGGGAGGACACCTGGGCAGTGGGAGCCTCCTGTGGAGGAGTTCCAGGATGAGGGAGGGCACCTGGGCAGTGGGAGCCTCCTGAGGAGGAGTTCCAGGATGAGGGAGGGCACCTGGGCAGTGGAAGCCTCCTGTGGAGGAGTTCCGGGATGAGGGAGGGCACCTGGGCAGTGGGTGCTCCTGTGGAGGAATTCCGGGATGAGGGAGGGCACCTGGGCAGTGGAAGCCTCCTGTGGAGGAGTTCCGAGATGAGGGAGGGCACCTGGGCAGTGGGAGCCTTCCAAGCTGAGGGAAGGGACTTTGTGCAGCAAGAGCTACGAATGTGCAGACTGCACAGAGAGCCCAGGGTGGGAGAGGCCCTGGGAACAAGCCGAGAGCGTGGGCAGGGTGTGCGGGGAAGGTGTAAACACAGTCTGCTCCCACCAAAGCCATCCTGCTCCCGGAGGAGAGGGCCCCTCCCTCCCAGCCCACATGGCACCCCAGCTGCCAGGGCCCAGGGAGTCACATCCCCTACTGCCTGCAAGCCCCTTCCCAGCCCATCCTTGCCCTTCCTCTGGAATGGATCCTTAGCGGAGGTTCACAGAACAGTACTGCAAAGAGGTGCTGCCCTGTTGGAAGTGGGTCTGGGCCGGGAGCCAGCCCCGGGACTGCTCTATGACCTTGGCCTGACAATTTCTTGGATCATTGGCAGGAGGCGGGCAACTTGGAAATGGCAGAGACCAGAAACGAGGATGAAGTGACAGGAACATGGTGACTTGATGAGAGAACGAGAGAAGGAGTGCAAAGCTGGGATCAGAGGACACAGACGGGTCCCCAGGAACAGTGCCCTCCGGCCATCAGCCTGACAGTCCTGTCACTAGGACACCTCACGCCTCCCCGGAGAAAAATGGGCTGACGGGAGCTGAGACAGTTGGCCACGGGCTCATGGCCTGGATCAGGTGGACGCTCTGGCAGGTTCTCTCCCCTAGTGTCACACACACACACACACACACACACACACACACACACACACACACACCCCTCCGTGCCCTACGGAAGGCAGCTGCTATGGAACCGCCTGTATACATACCCAAGCCAGGCTCCCCGCAGTACCAGCAACCTCTCCCCGCAACAGTGGGTCCCTCAGCGGCTGCATCTCTCACACTTTTTTCTCCCTCCACTGGAGTGGAGCAGCCTGGGATCCTGCTGTCTAGGGGACTGTCTTCTGCCCCAGGGGCAGAGGCTGACCAGACAGAGGCATTACTGCTGGGCCAGCAGTGGGGAGCGGGGTGGGGGAGAGCGATGCTTGGAGGGTGGCTTTGGAAGATGAATGGTTCCCAGACAGTCGGGAGCAGCTGCCCGCAGGGTAAGCCTGGATCCGGGAGCAGGAGCGGAAATGTGCTTTTATCTCTGCTCTGGACCGGGCAGGACAGTAAAGAGAGAAATGGCAGAGCAGCTGGGGGCAGAGGAGGCGGACGCTGAGTTACTGAGCAGTCAGCACAGTGACAAAAACAGGTGCCACGCTTTCCCCCTCCAACCCGCCGCTGCCCATTTGGAGTGCACACACGCGTGCATGCGCGCACACAGACACAGACACAAAGCACACTCAGAACACAAGCTGGTGTTTGCTCGCATCCAGCGTCAGGCAGACATGCCACAGATCCAGCTGGCCTTTCTTACTGATAATTTCAGGAGAGCAGCCAATGACAGGGTGAGTTCCAGGGACTGAAAAGAGGCAGATGCCGCAGGAATGAGTATCCCTGTAGAAAAGTGACACGACCCAGCCCTAGACCACAGGGGTTTAACAGAACAGCTCCCGAGCTGACAGATGGCCAGGCCAGCAGAACCCCCTTTTGCCAAGCAGCTGCAAAGTCGGGGAGGGGGTGGGCTTGGATCCCCCACCTAACAGCGTGGCGGCGATGGGCTTCTCCCTGTGTCTTCCTGTGCCTGTACCATAGATACCAGGACTGCCGTCTGTGGGTTATGGTCGGGAGTCCTTGGTGAGTAAGCACAGGCTGTCCTTTATCCTTCCCTGGCTTCTCAAGTCTTCTTGGTCTCTGCACCCGGCCCTTGCCTGGGATGCTGGGGTTCCCTGCAGTTAGCCTGGGGGAGCCTGCAAAGTCCCTCTCTCTGTGCCTTCTCCAGCTTGGCACTTCCTCAGAGCAGGAACTTGGGAGTGGGAGCCCAGGAGCACAAGGCATCGTCTTCTTCCTGCCAATGCCAGCCTTGCTTGGGAACCCTATAGTCACGGCCTGTCTAGGAGCAGACCTGGGGGCTGCGGGGAAGAGCCTACCTTCTCCATGACTGCTTCCCCCATTCTCCCTCCTCCTGCTGCTGCGTCCAGCCCCACCACATCCTCCTGGGATGGGGGTGAACCAGGACTCCAGCTAGAACAGAAAATCAAAACAGCTCACTGCTCCTTCCCATGCCCAGAGGCGGCATGTGTATTTCAGGGTGGCCCATCCCAGACCACTACCCCTCCCTTAGAGGTCTGCAGCACTGCCCTCAGGACCCAGCTCAGCTACCACCTCACTCCCAAGCCTAGAAAGCATGGTCAGGACCACACTGATTCTCTTCAAACCAGCCCTTGCCCTGTGGCCTGAGGCATAAGTAGCAAGCACAAGACAAACCCACCCTCACTCAACCTCCACCAGTGACCATGAGAGCCACAGACTGCCTCCCATGTCCCTCTGCCCTCCAGAGCTTTACCTGTGCTGGCTTTACCTGTCTGGGCCGGTGGGTTACAGTCCCCAGAGCTGAGGTGCCTGAAGAAGTGAGGGCCTACCTCACAGGTTCTTTCTCCCTGAACAGAAGGAATCATTGGAGTCAAAAGCTGGAGGTATTGGATTGTCATGCTTAGGGCTCTCTTCCCTCTCCCTTCCCTCCCCCACCCCATGCCTCCCAGCCAGCCCTCAGCAGCAAAACTGGGTGCCAAGGAGTTAAGAGGTAACTAGACTGGTCATGGGGTCTAGGCCCTTTTTTTTTTTTTTTAGGGAAGACAGCTACTTGGAAGATGGTCCCCCATTCAGATCTCCTCGGCCATTCCATTACTGAGTGATTATAAACAAACAGCCACGTCCTACTAAGCCTGAGGTTATTGAGAATTATTGCATAAGAAAGGTTTGGGAGATAGGAGTGGTGACACAGGCCTTTAATCCCAGCACTCAGGAGGCAGAGGCAGGTGGATCTCTGAGAGTTTGAAGCCAGCCTGGTCTACATAGCAAGTTCCAGGGCAGCATAGTAAGACCCTGTCTGAAAACAAACAATCAAATGAAAAATAAAATAAAAGAAAGGGAGAAAAGAGAAAGGAAGGTCCAGGGAAGCACAAAGCATCCACTGGCTACGCATCCCAGAAATAGCATTTCAGGAGTATGCATCCCAGAAGTAGCATCTCAGGAGTAGCATCCCAGGAGTGGCATCCCAGGAGTAGCATCCCAGGAGTATGCATCCCAGGAGTATACATCCCAGGAGCATGCATCCCAGGAGTAGAATCCCAGAAGTATGCATCCCAGGAGTATACATCCCAGGAGTATACATTCCAGGAGTATGCATCCCAGGAGTATGCATCCCAAGAGTATACATCCCAGGAGTAGCATTCCAGGAGTATGCATCCCAAGAGTATACATCCCAGAAGTAGCATCCCAGGAGTATGCATCCCAGGAGTATGCATTCCAAGAGTATACATCCCAGGAGTAACATTGTAGGAGTATACATCCCAGGAGTAGCATCCCAGGAGTATGCATCCCAAGAGTATACATCCCAGGAGTAGCATCCCAGGAGTATGCATCTTAGGAGTAGCATCCCAGGAGTATGCATTCCAAGAGTATACATCCCAGGAGTATACATTCCAGAAGTAGCATCCCAGGAGTATGCATCCCAGGAGTATGCATTCCAAGAGTATACATCCCAGGAGTAACATTGTAGGAGTATACATCCCAGGAGTAGCATCCCAGGAGTATGCATCCCAAGAGTATACATCCCAGGTGTAGCATCCCAGGAGTATGCATCCCAGGAGTATGCATCTTAGGAGTAGCATCCCAGGAGTAGCATCCCAAGAGTATACATCCCAGGAGTAGCATCCCAGGAGTATGCATCCCAGGAGTAGCACCCCAGGAGTGTAGCACCCCAGGAGTGTAGCATCCCAGGAGTAGCATCCCAAGAGTATACATCCCAGGAGTATGAATCCCAGGAGCAGCATCCCAGAAGTATGCATCCCAGGAGTAGCATCCCAGGAGTATACATCCCAGGAGTAGCATCCCAGGAGTAGCATCCCAGGAGTATACATCCCAGGAGTAGCATCCCAGGAGTAGCATCCCAGGAATATGCATCCCAGGAATATACATCCCAGGAGTAGCATCCCAGGAGTATGCATCCCAGGAGTGTAGCATCCCAGGAGTAGCATCCCAGGAATATGCATCCCAGGAGTAGCATCCCAAGAGTATACATCCCAGGAGTGTAGCATCCCAGGAGTATGCATCCCAGGAGTATACATCCCAGGAGTATACATCCCAGGAGTATGCATCCCAGGAGTATACATCCCAGGAGTATGCATCCCAGGAGTATACATCCCAGGAGTATGCATCCCAGGAGTATACATCCCAGGAGTATACATCCCAGGAGTAGCATCCCAGGAGTAGCATCCCAAGAGTATACATCCCAGGAGTAGCATCCCAGGAGTATGCATCCCAGGAGTAGCATCCCAAGAGTATACATCCCAGGAGTAGCATTCCAGGAGTAGCATCCCAAGAGTATGCATCCCAGGAGTAGCATCCCAGGAGTATACATCCCAGGAGTGTAGCATCCCAGGAGTAGCATCCCAGGAGTATACATCCCAGGAGTAGCATCCCAGGAGTGTAGCATCCCAGGAGTAGCATCCCAGGAGTATGCATCCCAGGAGTATACATCCCAGGAGTAGCATCCCAGGAGTAGCATCCCAGGAGTATACATCCCAGGAGTAGCATCCCAGGAGTAGCGCTATCGCTAGCACACTAGCACTGGCCCAGCAGTCAAGTTCTGCTGTGCTTCCCAGCAGCCTTGCAACCACTGTTACAACTCCAGCTTTAGGGTCATGGTATGTATTTGCCCTTCCACACTGACTGAGGACCAGTCGGTAAGGACATCCTCCTTCCAGTGGGCCCTGAATCCCAGAGCTCCTGGGGATCATTTTTTGCCTTTGATCTCGAGACATCTCCCATGCTAGGGAGTCCATGGGCAGGCACATAATGTCTTACACATAAGTACTAAATAGATACTGCTTCGCTTTTTCAGTGTTTTAAAGGGCATAGAGGCCCCTTATTATCCAAAAGACTTTGGTAAGCCAAGGAAGGAAAAATCCAGAAGAATACACAACTTTGCCCCCTACCCCACAAAGGCCACATGGCTTCAACCTAGGGAAGAGTTAACTTCCTGGCCACTGGAGATAGCGTCCTGCCCGCAGGGGCTGCCCAGCCAATGGTACTCAGTGCTGATGACGTCATGCTCCTCCTGCGCCTTCTATTGGGGACTGGACAACGAATCCTGCTGGAGGTTCAGGCAACTGAGATGCAAAGCCGGTTGGTGGCAGAGGAAGGAGGAGGAGGAGGGAGGACCAAGGACAAGAGAGCAAATCACCCCAGAGTGGCTCCTGCCTCCTCCCTCTGCTCCCTGATCTTTCAACAGAAGGTCTGCCTGGGGACTGTCCCACACTCACGTCGCAGAAGCAAAACAACACAGCATTGGTCCAGAAGAAGGGGTCAAGGACTCCCTCTCTCACCTAACCTGCCCACCACACAAGGAGTGACTCTGGCGAGGGCTAGAACACACACACACACACACACACACACACACACACACACACACGCACACACACATATGCACACGCACATGCACACACGCCCGCGCGCGCGCGCGCGCCAATAGTTCCCTTGGCACCATTTCCCCACCCCCGACTCTCCTTCACCTGCCGGAGGACTGAAGGTCTGTGTCCGAGCTGCTGCCCACAGCTGCCCCATCCACTCCGCTGGGCTCTCTGGAAGGAAAGAGCAGGCAAGAGAACCTGTAGGCAATGCTCAGCTTCTGTCCCTTCCCCTTTTCACAGTCCGTGCAGCCCGGGACTAATGGGCTGGCTGCTCCAACCCAGCACCAGCTGCTCTGAGAGTGGTCCTTTCAGGGTGTCCCTCAAATCCCCTCCCAGACCAGCTAGAGGCCCAGGCAGACACTGCTCAGCCTCTGCTTATCTGTAGCCCACCCTGGAAGTTCCTCCCACCCTCAACCCCAATGCACAGCCCCATTCGTCTCTCACGGTTCCACCCGGTTGGCAAATCTGCGGCGCCACAGCATGGCCAAGCTGAGCAGGAAGAGGGTGGTGCACATGGCTCAGCTGCCCCATCCCCCCTGAAGACCAACTCTACAGAAGAAAGCCCCAGGTGAGGGGCCGCAATGGCCCCGGCCACCTCTCACAAGCCACCTGCTGTTTCCTGAAGTTCCTGGGGACGGATTAGGAGGTTCAAGCTGATTAGTGGAGTCAGCAGAACTGACCTTGTGAAGAGAGATTAAACTCACCAGGCCCAAGATCTCCCCTCTAGTGGCAGAGTAAGCCAACCTCCTTCAAGACATACAGGATGGCTCTGAGCGCCTGTCCAGAATGTTCTATTTAGAGCCTTCAGTACTGCCCGAGTTTCAGCTTCAAGGGCAGGTAGTGCAATCGGGTTAAGTGAGTTACTTCCACACAGTGTTAATGGCACCTGCAGAGCACTGGGGGCATTGCAAACATCAAGGAGAGCTTCAAAGAAGACCTGGGGCCTGGTCCAATGACAAGGACCTGTAAGTCACTGGGGAAGGGGCGGGATCTCAAGTTCAAAGCCTGGCTGAACTACAGAGAGAGCTGGAGGCCAGCCTGGGAAACCTAAGGAGAGAGTGTCAAAGAGGCTCAGTGGTGGAGTGCTTACCTCGCATCCCAGGGCCCTGAGTTCAAACTCCAGTACCGGAGTGAGGGAGAGTGGTCGTGGGAGGTGTCGGAACCTGCAGGTGCTGGAGAAGGTTGAGCCCTCAGCCATCTGCCCAGGCTGCTGACATGAAAGGATGCAGGACTCTTCAGTGACAGAGGCTGTGAGGTCGAGGGACTGCGCTGTCACAACAGAGCCATTGAGAGAAGAGAAGGGAAGAGGCCTGGCTGAGGAAACCGGAAAGCCTGGGCGAGCAGAGCATGCGTGTGAACCGGCTCCCTCGCTCGCTCGCTCGCTCGCTCACTCGCTCGCTCGCTCTGGCAGCCCTCTGAACTCTTCTCCTTAAGCTCTCTTTCCAGTAAAAGGCAGAGTCGAGGTGTGCACTCACAGATGTGAACTATAAATTCTATCTTATATAATGATCTTATGTAATTTAGATGTAAATTGTAAGTGTATCGGTTACATGCTAGATTACTGTACCAACACATTCCTGTGTTAGGAGGTATGGCAGTTGGAGGAGAAGATGAAAATCAATAGAAATATTCTTTGCACATCCCACCTGGACCTCCTGGGCAGTAGAGCAGGAGTCACCATGGCAGGGCAGGGGCATGCGCTGAGTGATGTTGGGACCTGAACCCACACTGTGCTCCATCCCTCTAAGACTTTCCCGTTTTCCTTCCCTGACCACGATGGGAGGTAAATGCCTCCTGCCCAAGAATCCCATCAGGCACCCCAATACTGTGCTCCAGGGAGGGCCCTGCCGGGACTGTAAAGGGTCTTGCTGATTGCCATGACTGAATCTTAAAGTCTGATTTTATGTTTTAGATTTCTTATTTTTGTTATTATTATTATTGTGTGTGTGCACATGAGAGAGAGAGAGAGAGAGAGAGAGAGAGAGAGAGAGAGAGAGAGAGAGAGAGAGAGAGAGAGAACATGTGGAGGTCAGAGGACAACTTCAGGAGTCCTTGCCCATGTGGGTCCCAGGGATGGACCTCAGGTCATTAAGGCTTTGGGAGTGGGCCAGCACCTTTAAAGATTTTAAATCAACAGGAGCCGAAGCTGAAGAGGAGAGCCATCTCCTGGGCAACAGGATTCCCATCTCACTTACTCCTGAGCAGGGTAAGGGCTAACAGGGAACCTTGAGGAGAACCAGAGCCACCTCACTCATCTGTGTCAGGCCCCGTGGGCACTTGTGGTCTCGGGGTTCCTGCTGTCCACACCCAGGCCTGGACAAGTGCTGGCAAGATGAGGTTTCTGGTCTCTCAAGACAGAGCAATCCTCCCTCTGTCCGAATCTCACCTCTCCATGAGCAGTCTACGATGAAGGATTTGCCTTCTGGTTTTCAAATGGAATCCTTGATGGTGACAGATGTCTCCACTGTCCTGTGCCTTATGACTTCTGGCTCCCCAGATCCATCACACCTGACTGCCACAGCCTCTATGAAACTTCACCAAGGCCAGGGCCAGAATTCAGGACAGTGTCTGGTTCTTACCTGTCTGTCACTAATTGGCCACTCGGGACTTCCTTCCTGCTTGCCCTCATGGGGTGGCATCGGTGGGGAGGAAAGGGGACACGGGCCTTTGGTTCCCCAGACTGGACATGCGTTCAAGTTCAGAGAGCCAGCAGGAACAGCAGATGGGAAGGGAGACTATCCATAGCTCTAAACCTGCCAGAACTTGAGGTCCCCGGGTCTGAGAACAGTGGTACGGGCCCTGTCTCGGGCTCAGGAGCGGCGGGACTACAGAAGCCCAGCTTTGTCTGCAAGTGTGTCCTCTCCAGCAGAGAGGGAGGCAATGCCTGGGTGTGTTTGACTTTGAGTCAGTTCCCCACGGCGTGAAGGGTACGCACGCACGCGCACAGGTCCAGACACCGCGCACCGAGAGCCGGGTCCCTTCGCCCCCAGCCCCGCACCAGCCCGGGGCGCACGCGGGTGCAGCTCGCTCTGCCCATGCCGCGTGACCCCCTGGTCCTCCCAGCCCCTTCTGCACATTGGCCACACCTACCTCTCCCAGCGAGGACCGCGGTGGCCTTGCTGGCGGGTGGGTAGGCAGGCGGGCAGACGCCAGCCGCGACGCCCCCATCCCGCCCAGTCTTTACCGTGCCAGAATTGGCTCCCCGACACAGGACTGGGGGTTTGGAACGGATTCATTTTTTTAAACATTTTTTTCCCAGCAGACCACATCCCCGCCCCCAGCTCGCAGTCCCCCGCCCCCTGCACATATACCCTGCACACACGCGCGCGCGCACACTCACACACACACACACGCACACACACACACACACACACACACACACCCGACGCGCACAGACACACACGCTCACTCCCTCCCTCCGGCGCTCTACTCCGCGCCCGCCCGCCCGCCCGCCCGCCCGCCTCGCACGCACCGACCTCGGCTCCGGCTCCCCGCTCCCGCCGCCTAGCGAAGCCGCGCTGGGCTCCGAGCTGCTCATGGAGAAAGTGCCGGGCGACATGGAGAGAGATCGCAGGGAGCGGAGCGAGGAGCTGTCCGAGGCAGAGAGGAAGGCGGTTCAGGCTACGTGGGCCCGGCTGTATGCCAACTGCGAGGACGTGGGGGTGGCCATCCTGGTGAGGTAGGTGTCGCTCCCGGGGCTTGGCGGGGCCCAGGACAGGGAGGGTGACAGCGGCCGCTGGCAGAGGCGGGCTCGGCCCGCTGCGAGCTCCGGCGCCACCTCCCCAGCGATTGGGGACGGGTCACGGTGGTGGGGGAGCCTTGGGGCGATGGAAACCTTAGCAGATTCCTTCCCGGCTCGGGGCGTGGGGCTCTCAAGGAACTAGACGCGAGAGGGCACTTGGTCCCCCTGGCCTCAGAACTCACTCAGCCCGGTCGGTCTTCTTCATGAGTGACCCTAGCGACCCAACTAAGAGGTATGGCTCAGGCATCTGACCAGCCCCTCAAAGGGGACCGTAGGGGCTCCCCGTTTTAGAGACAGGCAGAGAAACTGAGGTTCAGCCAGGAAAGGTTTAAAGAGGAAACAGGACTCTCTGTCCAGCTCGGCCCTTTGGAAGACCACAGCAGAGAGCAGGGGGGCTGGAGGTCAAGAGGCCCAGCTGCTCAGCTGTCCCTCTCGGCCCCAAAAGTGAGGCCAGTGCGAGCTGCAGGTGAGACAGGTGAGTGAAACCAGTCGGCTTCTAGGATGCAACGGTTGAGTTTGTTAGGGTTTTTTTTTTGGGGGGGGGTGGCTTTCAGGAGACAGGGCCCTACTCTGGACCCTTCAGCCAGGTAGGAAGTATCGTGTCTGTCCCCAGTATCTCTGAGGACCCCCCCACCCTAGGTGATGCTGGATTTACACACCTGTACACGCATAATGTCTCCAAGCCCAACAAGCTGGAGACTTGACTCCAGCTGCAAATCACATCCAGATTCTTCCAACACACGCTGGACCCAGGGGTCCAGGCAGGGCCACCACATTCACCCTCAGCTTCCATCTTGGCAGGGGGAGACTGTCAGACCCAGGGCAGAGCAGCCTTTGTGGAGACAGGGTGAGACCTGGGGTGGACCGAGGGGACATCGCCTTTCCAGTCCCGGCCCCCCCTCTGGCTCTTCTTCCCTTCTGCCTCTGCCTCCTGCCAGCCTGGGACCTACCCAGCTCCCTGCTGATATGCCTGGATTCCAACTCAGAAGTAGATTTTGGAGGAAAAGAGCAGAAGTATTTCAGAGGAGTTGGGGGAGGGCTCCTGATGAAGAGGAAGGAGCAGCTATTTCAGAGTTCTCCCGCCCAGCAACACTGCCCTGGGTGGCGGGAACCAAGCAGGACCACTGGGATGCTGAAGCTGCAGACAGATTGGCAGTGTGGGCACCCAGTGGGGAATGGAGCCTCGGATGCACCAGTGCGTATCCCCAGAGGGCTGCTCTCAGCCTGTGTTGCACCCCTAAGCCCACAGAGCACATGTAGGGCACCAAGAGGAAACAAGGCAAGGTCCATAGGACCTGAAGATGCTCTGAGCAGGCTTGTCAATGAGTTGCGTCCCCAGGGGGAGGGACAGATGGGGGACAGGGTCCGAGATACTCATTCTGTATCCTGTGAGCCTTTTCTTCTTCAGTACACCCCCTGACACCCAGGGACCAGGCCTGGCTGGGGAAGGTATTTACTGATAGACTCGGGGCGGGCTCGGAGGCCTATAGTGAGCCCGAGAAGACCCGAGATGTCCATCAGATCTGGCTTGCCGAGCTTCCCGACACCACACTTCGCCTAACTCCAAGCCTGTACTGACCAAAGCCCGCCTGACAACCCTGGGCCAACACTGTATCAGCCACTCCCCGTGGCTCCAGATGCCCCAGGCCCGGGCAATGGAAAGGGGCAAGACCAAGACCCTTAGCTTCTCATAGCTTCACAGGACCCATTGTAGATCCTGCTCACAAACTCGTGTTTTGGCAAGCCCAACATGTTCATCCATAGGACCAGGCCCCCTGGCCGCTCCTCCCCCTTGTCTGTCCTCACTGCCCACTCTGCCTGCCGGATAGGAGGCAAGGAAGAGGCTGGCTACCAGCAGGAGTTCCTGGCAGATATGGTGTCATAGAGGAGGAGCTAGCTGCCTTAGGGTCTGAGGCAGACCCCATGCCGCCAGCCAGTCTGCCAGTCCGTGTCAGAGAGAAGCCCCGGGAACACCACCCTCCCTCCTGGTTGTAACGCTGACACCTTCCCCCTCACACGCAGACAAGCCTATTTCAGGCTCTTGGAAGCCCAGATGCCTCTGGGAGTTGAGAAACTCCCCAAGACTGGCTGCTGAGGCTTCTCCCTGGCAGCTCAAGCCAGCCAGGGAGGGGTGGGAGGAAACACGGGCTGAAGGGGAAGCCAGGATGACAGAACTCAAGGTCCCTGCTCCCTGGGAAGGTCCTCCCTCAGGGCCACACACAGGGCTGATGTGTTGAGGCAACAGACTCACCCGCACTCAGGACCCATCCCTGGCCAGCAGCGTGGAAGGCTGGTCTATTCTGTTGTTACCTCTTGAGCAGCCTTGGGGACCAGCCAGTTCCTGATCCATAAGATGGGGAACAGAGAAACACTCAGATAGTAAATGTTCAGTGAGTGTTCCCTGGGACGCTCTCCTTGCGGGGAGGAAACAACAGCTTCTAGACTTCAGCAACTAAATTCTCTAAGAGATGCCTTGCAAACGGCAACAAACCCCCCCCCCCATCATTTTTTTTTTTCAGTCATGAAAGCCAAAAAGCCTGACATGCTTATTATTTTGTGTAGGCACGTTTGGATGTCGTGGCAAGCATGTGGAAATCAGAGGACAACTGTCTGGAGTCAGTTCTCTCCTCCCACCTTGTTGAGGGAGTCGGTCTTGTTTTTACCACTGTACTGTGCCCTAGGGACCCTGTCTCACTGCTTAGGAGTGCTGTGGTTACGCGTGTGCCGTGGTATCCTGCCTTTGGGTTTTTACACATTCTGGGGACCAAACTTGGTGACTAGACTTGTGCACTGAGGGATTTGACTCACTGGCTTGTCTCCTGGCCACTGAGGCGTCTTCCGTCATGTGCCCCTCGTTACAAAGCTTCCAGGGAAGTCCTGTGTGTTTTCAGGCCCAGTGCCACCTTGGTCCACACCCATGCACCTCTGAAGACGCCAGCTGTGAAGCTTTTCTCAAACTTTTACGGACAGGAGGAGGGGGTCATAAAGTTTTTGTTCAAGGTCACACTCAGCATCCAAGAAGGTCCCTCTCCTTCTCCACATGGATGGTGCCCTAGCCACCCAGTTAGAACCTTCCTGCCAAAAGCAGCTGTGGCCCCAGAAGGGCTGGCTGGCCAGATGTTCTGTGTCTATCTCCCTCACATCAGCTTCTCAGGCCTGATCCACAAGCTGTGAGCTTCCTCTGATGCCTCAGAGGGACAGCCGGAGGGTGATGACATCCAGCGACACAGGTCAGGACACTTTACACACTTTCTAAAGAACCATTAAATGAAACAGTTTCTCATTGAGTTCCAGCTAGGGGGCCCAAAGGTTGGGGTGATGAGTCAGAGCATTTGTGAGACCCCACCTCCACTTACGGTGTGGGGTCGGGTCCAACAGACTGAAAGGGTAGCAGAGAAAACTACCCCGTGGCACCAGTGGCCGTGGGTGGCACCAGTGGTCGTGGGTGGCACCAGTGGCCGTGGCGGGAAGGCCACACTGGGTGGCCAGAGAGGGGCAGGTCTGACAGGGGGACGTGTCATGGAAACGAAGGCTGGCCAATGGTAAGTGCAGCTGTTGGACTGGGACAGAGGACTCTGAGCACTGGAGAAGTGGGTGGGGACAGTTCACAAGAAGTCTGGGACATCTGACTTGGGCATAAAACCCGGGAGCCGATGAATGTTTTTGAGTATGAGAATGATGTAACAAAAGAAGGCTGGGGGGATTAAACCGATTTAGATAAACTTGAGCAGGAAATGGCCAATGCTAGGAAAGCCCAAATTCTGCTTCAAGGGACTTTTTTTGTGGGGGAGTATGGCGATCATGCCTCCAATCCCATCATTTGAGAGGCAGAGGCAGGGGATGTCTGTGCGTTCAAGACCTCACAGATAAGTAGTTACAAACCATACCACAAAGGTAAAATCAATTGTTTAAATTAGTTCGACCAGTCAGTGTTTGCTTCAGGACACCAAGGAGGAAGAAGCTGAGCTGGGAGAGAAGGTGTCTCTCGTCAGCTCTTCACTGGCTGAGTGAGCACAGATAGGTCACCCCGGCCTCACTTCATCCACAAGGAGGGCTCTCACTAAGGACACTGCTGCATTGACTGAGGGACACCTTGCTGATGACAAGCACTTTCCTTCATACTCACAGCCCCACGGTGTAGGAACGCGGGTGCCCATTTTACAGATAAGGAATCCGAGGCTTCGAGAAGACAAATAATGAGTGTTCACTTGCCTGGGAGCACCAGGCCCTGGATTCAATCCCCAGCACTGAGAGAAAAGTTAAATAAGAAGCTGGCTATAGGGGTGGGGGACATGGTAGTGCACGCCTGTAACCCCAGTACTCCAGGGGCAGAATGTGCAAGTTTCAAAGCCAGCTTGGCCTACGCAGAGATCCAGTGAACCAGGGGTGCTTGGCAAGATCTTGTCTCAAAAAAGAAGAGGAAGAAGTGAATCAGGGTACAGAGGCTCACACTTGGGAGGCTGAAGCAGGATGGCTTGAGCCCACAAGTTCAGGGTCATCCTGGGCAACATAATAAGTCTTTAATGCCTTTAATCCCAGCACTCAGGAGGCAGAGGCAAGCAGATCTCTTTCAGTTCAGGACAGCCAGGGCTACACAGAGAAACCTTGTATCGAAAAACCAAAAACCAACCTAGAACAATTGTCCCAGAATCTATCTCTCTCTGGGTGACCAGAGCAGGCCTCAGTGGGGTGTAGCTCAGAAGGCACTCAAGAAGAAGGCAGATAGTGGCCTGTCACAAGAGGCTGCCAGCCTAAACAGGTCCAGCAGGTGGTCCCTGCAGGGCCTGGCCAGAGGGGGAGCCTGTGACTGAGGGAGAGCTCCATATGAGAGTGAAAACCATTACTGGTATGGGAGTATGCCTGGTTCTCCAACCCCACCTCCATTTTGGCCCCTCCAGAGGACTTAGAGGGAGCCCCCTGCTTCAGCCCTCACCCCCTTCCTCCTGCCAGGTTCTTTGTGAACTTCCCATCAGCCAAGCAGTACTTCAGCCAGTTTAGACACATGGAGGACCCCTTGGAGATGGAGAGGAGTCCCCAGCTGCGGAAGCATGCCTGTCGTGTCATGGGGGCCCTCAACACTGTCGTGGAGAACCTGCATGACCCAGACAAGGTCTCCTCTGTGCTTGCCCTGGTCGGCAAGGCCCACGCCCTCAAGCACAAGGTGGAACCTGTGTACTTCAAGGTATGTCCTTCCATTTGCTCTTGTCCAGAGCCCCCAGGCCACTTGGCCGCAGCTCCCTATAGCCTGTCTGTCGCTCAAGGAGGGCTCCCTGAAGAGCAGAGATGGCCACTGAGCTGCCAGCCTTTTCCCTCCCTCGGAGAGGTTGTGGCAGGAAAGGCAGCATGAGAGAAAGGTGCAGTGCAGAGCTTGTCTCGAGACCACGGTCTCCAGTCACCACCAGGCTGTTAGTTCGTGTCCATCACACAGGCCAATACGGCTATCAGGGATCCTGGGGACGGCGGGAGGCGGGGTGTCCAGGCGTTTACTCCTCCTTCCCTCCTTTGCCCCCAGATTCTCTCTGGGGTCATTCTGGAGGTGATCGCCGAGGAGTTTGCCAATGACTTCCCTCCTGAGACGCAGAAAGCCTGGGCCAAGCTGCGCGGTCTCATCTACAGCCATGTGACTGCTGCCTACAAGGAAGTGGGCTGGGTACAGCAGGTCCCCAACAGCACCACGTGAGGAGGGGGCGCGGGTGGGCTGGGCAGCCTCCCTGCTGTGTCCTCTCTTGTCCCCAAGGCTTCCCATTTCTCCTGGGACCAGGGACTGACTGCTGGTGCGCGCAGACCCAGGAGTCTGACACATTTAAGAGCAGGCACCACACAAAGGGTCTGCGTGACAGCGCCCTTCTGACCTCAGGCCTGCTTCTGTCCAGCCCCAGCTCTTAGCTTCACAGAGCTGAGAACTCCAAGTAGATTTGTCTGGGCAGTGCTTCTCCGTGTCTGGAGCAGGGATGGCTCAGGTCACCCAAGGCTATGACAGTCTCCTGGCGGGGCGTTGGCTCCTCAGACTCAGAGCAGCACGGGCCAGCCCCACCCCTTCCTCCCCATACCAATCCTTCAGGCCTGTTCCTCATCTCACACTGACCAGCGACCAGCCAGTGCTTCCATACACTGGTAACACAGCTGGAGCCAGGAGGGTCACGAGGACATATACACATGCCCGGGCCCACAGAGGACCTCCATGGGTGTCACTCACACGGACAAAACTAGGAGATGTTTACTTCCAGTCTGACTAGAGAGAGGCAGCAGTCACTTGTAGGCTCCGACAGGGTGGCCGGACTCATTGACTCCTGCTGGCTAGGAGCACGTCGAGGGCTGGCCTTCCCATGTGGTGATGTGGCGGCTGGGAACACTCAGACCCCCTAGACCCCCAGGAGGCAGTGAACTCTGGGAGCTGAATGGAAGGGCAGAGGCAGGGCTGAACTGGGAAAGAGAGGAGCGGAGGCGGGAACAGGAACCAGGGGTCAGCCAGCGGCTTGGACACGTGTTGTAGAGAAACATTCCCAGCAGTTTCCCATGGAAAAGGCACCGTCTCCTCAGGCTCTTCCAAGGCCCCCCATGCCACCTCCTGTTTACAGGCCTTCCCACCCGGCTCTGCAGAAGAGGTCCCTAAGGGCAGGGAGAGGCTAGGCCTGTTGCCCTTCCTGCCACTGACCAGCCAGTCAGGTTGTGCCTCCCCCACCATGGGCGGCTCCCCAGGAGAGCAGAACAGTTCTCAGGAATTGCTAGTTGCAGCCAGGTCAACTCCAGATGTGTACAGCTGGATCTGGCCTGCCCCAGACCCTGGAATAACTGAGAGGCAAGAAGAGTTTTACCTGCCAGAGGAGGGCATTGGCCAGGCGGGGAACTGGGGTTCCCTCCAGCTGCCACTGAGAGGGACCAGGGAGGAGACTGTGGGAGGGGAGACAGCGGAGGGGCTCCCCCTCCCCCGCACTCTCCTCCCCAGGCAGACTCTGCCGCCCAAGATGAGTTTGTTTACAGCCCTGACACAAGACTTCCTGCTTTTGGAGAAAAGAGCTTTTTACGGGGCCTGGAGGGACTGTGGGGAGAACTGGCCAGCGAGCCCCGGTGAATCAGAAACACATGGCTGGAGCCTTCCCGTTCCTGCCCCAGCTGGACCCCGGGGACTTAGTGCTAGCCAAACCCCAAACATCATCTTGCCCTGCTTCGGTCCTAGTGGGCTGAATGGGGATGGATGATGCAGGGGTCAGATAGCCCAGGGCCTAGCCCCCTCACCTGGGCCTGAGCACCCATACTGGTCTCTTTCCTAGCTGTCACGTTGTGGAACTGGCCCTTCATCCCTTGACGGCCTCTATCCCCATCTCTGGTCTCCTAGGGTCTTGGGCATGGGCCAGGGCCTGCGGATTCCAACCTATTGGCAGGGCCACCCCACCCCCACCCCCACCCAGCTGCCTTGCCTCACAGGGTGGGGTGGAATTTTCAGGGCTGACTTCTAGAAGGGCCCTGTCCAACTTCTCTTATCAGGGACACACTGAGCCAGACACCACTATTTATTGAACTCTCTGCCTCAGGGTGTGTGACTCTGTGTGGGTGGAGGGGCGCTGGGGCAGGGGATGCGACGGCCAGTGAGCTGAAAGGGGTTTCATGGATGGAGACCCTACGTGGGAGCCAGGCAGTCCTCTGCTAGGACAAGCCACACATCCTGTTTTCAAATGGATAGAAACACGTTCACATCTGTGTGGTGTTTGTAAAATGCCTCGGCTCTCAGCAGGCCAGACGCTGGCCACACCCCCTGCTCCTTCAAAGGACAGGGCCAGGTCTCTCTTCTCATGGGCTACTAGACCAGCTTGAGGTAGCTCCATAGGCTGGAGGTGATGGGGGATTGCGCAACCATGTTGGGTCTCTCGGCGGGAAGTGCCCGTCTCCGGATTCCCAGTCCCCTCTCCCAGCGCCCCAGGTGTCCCATCCTGCCTCCCCCCACTGACCCCTGTAACCTATCATCTCCTGTCTCATCCACAGCCCACCGACCACGCTGCCCTCTTCGGGGCCATCGGACCCCTCCCAGCTCCCCCCTCCCTGGCAGCACTTTGGGCAGAAGGCTGAGTTCTGAAGACACTCCTTGACCTTCCATTTCTGGGTGCCAAGGAAGCTGGAGGAATCCCGACTCAACTTCCCGAAAGGAGGCCTTCATCATGGCCCTGGTCCCCCAGGCTGCTGGGAGGTGGGGCTGGCTACCTTGATGCTGAACCTAGCAGTGGGGACCCTTCTGCCTGACAGCAGGGGGCGCCCTCGTCTTAGCTTTTCTACTTACTGTTAAGAGGGACCCAGCAAGTGGCCGGTGGGAAGCCAGGACAAGCCTACAAGTCACTTCAGAAAGGAACTAGCCCCGCTTCGTCGTCTGCCCACCAGCATGCAGGCTCACCTCACCATCTCTAGAGTATCCACGCACACATGTCTACCATATATACAGATATATCTATATACGACCTCTATATAAATATATATATACGTACATATCTATCGCGTGTACCTGCCCAGAAGACTCGGTCTTGCCCAGCTATGGGAGGCCAGGAGGAGTCCTGGTCATGCTTCTGGGAAGTTCTATGAGGAGCAGGGAGAAATCCTCCAACAGCACTAGACGGGGGGCCCGGGGGTAGAGTTGGGGTGACTCAGCTCACCCCCATAGCTCAGTGCTCTGCATTCCTGCCCCTCTACAAAAAAGAAAAGAAAGAGAGAAAGAAAGAAAGGAAGGAAGGAAGGAAGGAAGGAAGGAAGGAAGGAAGGAAGGAAGGAAAGAATCTGGTTTCCCAGGTATAGTGGCACACACCTGTAACCCCAGAGCTTGGGAGGCAGAGGACAGAGAATCACGGCAAGTTTGAGGTCAGGTGGTCAATACCTGGTCTCCATGGCGGCGTTGAGTTTCAGGCTAGTCGGGTCTACACAGGGAGACCCTGTCTCAAACCAAACAAAAATAAGGTCCGGCTGCCCTCGCCTTCCTAGAGGTTTGGCTGACTGACTTGCCTTAGACAGGGCAAGGACCAGGGCACACAAAGGACTCAGAAGATCCCAATGGGGTGGCGGCCAGTATATGTGTCCCCTGTATGTGTGTGGAGGGTGAGGAACCGCCTCAGAAAAGAGCCCTAGAATGTCAGCCTTACCTGCTCACTTCAGACAGCAGCCAGGCCACAGGACCGACCGGGGACTCCGTCCTCAGTGGAGACCCAGGGCCTCTCCCTCCTGCCCTCCTCCAGGCCACTAGGCCATCCTCTCCACCTAGTCCTTAACATTGCTGGGCCCCCCGTGTGTACCCCTTGGTCATGTGTACTGTCCCAGAGGATGTCTTGCTGCTGTGGCTCCTGTGCCTGCATCTCCTCAGTCCCTTCCCATGCAGCCTCCCTGTTGTAGTTCCTGACGTTTGTAACCAGATCCAGCTGTGTCATTAAACAGGTCTGTTCTTCCTGTATCTGGCCTCTGTGCTTCCCCGCCCCCGGAGACCTGCCTTCACCTCTCTTTCCCCTGGGCGGTTCTAGATAAGGGCATTTTTCATCAGAAACAGTCCCGTCGAGGGTACCCCTTCCCCTGTGCTGGCCCTGGCTGCTCCTGGGGTGCTCTGTGTGTTGGGACTGAAGATTGGTCAGCGGCTAAGCAAGAAGCCAGAAGATGGGGTAGGGGATGGGTCTGTCTTATTAAAAATTCAGAGAAGCTGGACCTACCTGGTGGCTTACAGCTGTCTCATTGCAGAAGGTTGAGGCATGAGGATGGGGCTGGGGGTCACAAGTTTAAAGCCAGCCTAGGTGACTTAGTAAGAACTTGTCTCAAAATAAAAAATGAAGAAAGCTGGGGATACAGCTCAGTGAAGGAGCACTGGCCCCGCGTTCACCAGGCTCTTTTTGTTGTTGTTGTTGTTTTTGTTTTGTTTTGTTTTGTTTTTCAAGACAGGGTTTCTCTGTGTAGCTTTGCGCCTTTCCTGGAACTCACTTGGGAGACCAGGCTGGCCTCAAACTCACAGAGATCCACCTGGCTCTGCCTCCCGAGTGCTGGGATTAAAGGCGTGCGCCACCACTGCCCGGCATTCACCAGGCTCTTAATCTCTGGTACCGCCACTGGGGGATAAAAAAGTCAGTGCCTTTGGGTTTTGTCCTGGAAATCTAGCAAGGACAGTGTCAATGTGGAACGAAGGACACAATGTCAAAGCTGGGCTTGGTGACACACTCCTGCCACCCCAACACTCAGCAGTCTGAGATAGGAGGATTACATGTCGGAGGATAGCCTGGGCTACGTGATGAGTCTGCCTCAGAAAAGAGGGGGAGGGGAGACAATGGGGGGCTCATGTCTAGATGTCCACGCAGAAGGAGCCTATTTGTGTGCTCTAGTCACACAGCCCAAGATTAAACCTTGACCTTCTTCTAGGCCTGCACACTGGGCATTCCACACTCGACGCTGAATGCAGGCCCCGATGCTCCAGAGGTCAGTCCTCGTGTACTGCAGAAAGAGAGCCTGCTGGAGTCAGCCTTCAACCTTGAGCTCCCAGCCTAGAATCTCTTCCCAAGCTCTGCTGGGCCAGGCCTATCCATCCCCCAGGCAATGGTCACAACAGCAGTATCAAGTCCCTGAGGAGGGATCAAGGAGGTCACCACAGGGAGGGGGTGCAGGAGGAACAGGAAACAGCTTCTGCCCCTTGGGAAGGCTTCAGGCTGTCTGGAAGGACTCAGCTGACACAGGCAGAAGTCTTGTCTCCCAGCCCATGCACTCAAATGTGAGCTGTGCCTTCCTTTATCTTCTGGGCCTGGCACAGCAGAGCACACGCTGGAAATCCAAAGAATAAATAAATACAGTCTTAGAAAGCAGGACAAGCACCCGGGCCAAGAGCAAGCCGCGAACTGGAGGAGAATGCTGGGTGCCGGGAGGGCAGGGCACGCCAGACCTTTCCAGGGAGGGAGTGTGCCAGACTGGTGGCCTCCCAGCTCACACTCAGTCCTGGCGCTGCCGTGTGACTCTGGGCAAGACACCGAGAGCCTGGTGTGGTGGTGTTCCCAGCTCTGGGGAGGCTAAGGGAAGAGGACGGAGAGTTCAAGACCAGCCTGGACGACACAGCCAGACACCATCTCAAAACGAAAATACTAACTTCACTAAGCAAAACTCTGTCTTTCACGGCAGGGAGAAGAGGCATGGCGGACAACAGGAAAGGTGTACAGAGCAGGGCTACCTGCATGGACACAGACTGAGTTCCTGAGCAGAATCCTGTGAGAGGGAGAGGGGTGATCCCTGGGGGACTGGTTGGTGGGGTATTTATTAGAGGGTCATGATGGGGCATCTGAGGTCACGGTGGGGGATCATCCCTGAGAAGACCTCCCCACACAGCGGTCTTGAGAATGGTGTAGGTGGAAACTGGAGCCATCCTGGAACAGGCCATCATCAAGAAGGACTCTCCCCACTTCCTGTCTTCTAGAGAGGATGTGGGACTTCACACCCGATCCACTAGGGATGAGGAGGGAACAGGGCAGGATGCTGGAGACTGGGTTTTAAGACAGAGGCAGGGGCAACGTCTGGGCTTAGACTGTCTGGAGCGCAGAACAAACAGTGCTCGTCTGCAGTCAGCCTTCTTACTGAAAAGCAAAGCAACTGGGTCAGCTCCCCTGGTGAGCTCAAGCTGAGAGGCATCGGAGTGTGGGCAAGGAAGGGGCGGGGGAGCGTTGCGAGGAGACGGCGGCCTCCGCTCCGACAAGGATGCCAGCGGTACAGCCTCACAGCGACCCCTGCCCGCTGCAACGGGAACTTCACCCAAGAAAGCAACCATCTGGCCCGCTTCCCGCTGTGGGGACACCAGGTCAGGGTGGGGAGCAGCGCGTTGGCTCCACCTTCCTCCAAAAGGGATGCAGCCTTACTGACACATGAGACAAAACCGAAAGTGTGCATGCCTGAACTACAGGAAATACCTTCCCGGAGTTGCCAAGTGGAAAAAGTTAATAAATGAAGGCGCTGGCACCAGATAACATGTGCCCAGCGTTTGGTAAACTGAGGCAGGAGGATCCTAAGTTTAAAGCCAACCTTGGCTACTATGCAGTGAGTTCCAGGCCAGCCAGCGTTATGTAGGGTGACCCTTCTCTAAATAAGCAAATAGAGGAAATGGCTCAGTCACTTGAGTGCTTGCCCAGTAAGCACAAAAATCCCAATCCAATACCGAGGACCCCGGTAAAAAGCTGGGTGTGGTGACACATGCCTGGAGTCCCAGGAGGACCCCTGGGGCTTGCTGTCTAGCCTCCCCTAATTGGTGAACCCCAGGTCCCAAGGGAAGACCCTGTCCCAAAACACAGGCGGAGAGGCACCTAAGGTTGACACCTGACCTTGAGAAGCACAGAAGAGAGGGGGTGGGGGTGGGGCGGGGGTGGGAATGGGTTGGGGTAGGGGGGTGGGGGGGTGGGATGGAAGCTCATGCCTCTAATTCCAGGCCTCAGGAGGCTGAGAAGAGAGACCGATTTAAACGCAAAAAGGTGGGCTGGAGAGATGGCTCAGAGGTTAAGAGCACTGAAAGCTCTTCCAGAGGTCCTGAGAAAAGGCTACAGAGTGAGTGAGACTCTGTTCAAAGAACAAAGGGGGAGGGTGGGTCAATTAGTTTCTGGTTTTTTGTTTTGTTTTGTTTTGTTTTTTGCCGTCAACTTGACACAAGCTAGGGTCATCTGGGAAGAGGGAACCTCAATTGAGGAAATGCCTCCATGAGGTTCCTGTAGGCAAGTCTGTGGGGCATTTTCTTTCTTTCTTTCTCTCTCTCTCTCTCTCTCTCTCTCTCTCTTTCTTTCTTTCTTTCTTTCAGGTTTTCAAAACAGGGTTTCACTGTGTAACAGCTTTGTCTGTCCCTGGAACTAGCTGTAGTTCAGGAACTAGCTGAAGCCTCTGTAGCCCAGGCTGGCCTCAGACTCACAGAGACCCTCCTGCCTCTGCCTCCCAAGTGCTGGGATTAAAGGCGTGCGCCACCACCACCTGGTTGGCATTTTCTCGATTAATGATTGGTGTGGGTGGGCCTAGTCCTCTGTGAGCTGTGCCGCCCTTGGGCACGGAGAAAGCATGGGGAGCAAGACCCTCCTGCGCCCGCCAACCCCCCCCCGCCCCCCCCCCCACCCCTGAGTGCTGGGGTTAAAGGCGTGCGCCGCCGCCACCACCACTTGCTCTGACGTCCCCTTATGATGGATTAAAATAAACCCTTTCCTCCCCAGGTCGCTTCCAGTCATGGTGTTTATCATCACAGGAACAGACAGCCAGAGCAGGTGTCCTCCTCCGGGGGACGGCCAACGTAACACCATTTTGTTCCCCATTGCTGCTCTCCCTAGAACAGCTGTGCCCCGGACCTGCCTCGGAGAAAGACAGACCCAGGGTAGGGAGAGTTGGGGGTTCTCCTGCTGTGGTCTTGACTAAGGTGCCCAGTTGGATACAACCAAGTTGGACGGGCAGTTTAAAAAGAGCAATGGTGCCAGGCGGTGGTGGCGCACGCCCTTAAACCCAGCACTCGGGAGGCAGAGGCAGGCGGATCTCTGAGTTCGAAGCCAGCCTGGTCTACAGAGTGAGTCCCCGGACAGCCAAGACTACCAAGAGAAACCCTGTCTTTAAAAAAACAAACCAAAAAAAAAGCAACGGCAAGCTTCAGGGCTACCTGCCTGGCTTCACCTTCACGCCCTCTGAGTGGGCTGTGAGGGAGACCTGGGCCTGTTTTACCAACAGCTTTGAGCAGGGCCGGAAGTGAACCTCCGTACAGCTCTCCCGCAGAGGCCAGACAGCACCTCACTTCTCCTCCATGCCCCAGCCTCGTGCATCTGCTCTGCCCCCTGTCTGGACACACTAATGCAATACAAGCAGTGAATTCCGGAAAGAGTGGAGGGAAGAAAAGAAGAAGACTGCTTTGCCAAGCGCTTGCTCCCCAGTGGAAACACAACAGCCACACAGTGTCCCATGCAGTGCCCAAGGAGGCCAGAAGAGGGCGCCAGAACGACCGCTGTGAGCCACCCTGTGGGTGCTGGGAATCGAACCTTGGTTCTTTGCAAGAAGAGCAAGTACTCTTGGCCACTGAACCATTTCTCCAGTCCCACATCAGGGGTCCTTGGGGACTGAAACACAGGCCCACAGTCTCCTCAGCCAAGGAGACCCCTCCCTGACCAATCCCACGGGAGTCACCTTCCTTCACAGGTCAGCTCTCTCCTCACCACGACAATCCCTGACCTCGCTCCTCTCCAACAGAAATGGTGCCGTTTCTCTCAGGCTGCTCTAGTCTCCTTTCCAGAACCTTCCCTGGCAGCCTTTCTGTGAAACGTACTGCTGTGGGATGGTCTGTATGTTAAATGTGTTGCTCTGATTGGTTAATAAATAAAACACTGATTGGCCAGTAGCCAGGCAGGAAATATAGGCCGGACAAGGAGAGAAGAGAATTCTGGGAAGTGGAAGGCTGAGGCAGAGAGACGCTGCCAGCCACCACCA